AGTGGTGGATGGTGGTTCTAGAGAGGGTAGGTCATTATGGTGACTGCTCTTTACAGTGGTGGATGGTGGTTCTAGAGAGGGTAGGTCATTATGGTGACTGCTCTTTACAGTGGTGAATGATGGAGTTGCAGAATGAAAGTCAATTTGGTGAACTATACTCACCATCTACCATCAAGACAGTTGAGGTCCAAATTTCAGTCAGCTCAAAGTTGGAAAAGTCCAAGTCTAAAGTCAACTTTCGGAGTCAAGTTTGGTTTCTCTACCAGTTTAAGATAAAGAATAAAAAAAATGTTTGAACTTCGGGAGAAAAAAATTGTGCAACGTGTTAGCATATTTCATAATGCAGACATCCTTACATTCTGATTAGAGGACAGAGATGACTGAAGACTCCCAGGCTTGAAGAAATTATTGAAAGTCAATAATGCTAAGACTGAATTTGTGTTGGCTTTGACAGGTGAGGAGAATATACGTCGCATTGAAGAGAATGGACAAGTGGTAATGATCACAGAACACAGGGTACTAGACGACAGACGGCAGGGTCATATATTAATTAAGGTAAATAATCTTATGCCACCAGTGCAAAATATCGACGCTTCTGGTTGAAAAGAAGAACTTAGCTGTCCATTTCCCATTTGTTAAAAAAAAATTGGCATACAAGTCAAGTCACCCGTTTCAGTACAAATGTCAAGTTTCAACTTCAGACCAGTGTTCTAGCCAGAATGAAATTGAAGGATAGGGGCATCTGCCCCACATGCCAGATACGGTTGGGGGGGATGGTGACTGGATATTATTTGACACCTGAGGGCGCTGTTTAAAATTTATTATGTAAGCTCCCATTACCCTATTCCATGTCAATTATCAGTTTTACAGTGACTTCTAAGTTTTACCCTTTTCTCTACATTTTTTGGGGGGCTTCGATTTATGTTTTTAATTTTCCTTTTGCTACGGTGTGGCACAGTCTTACCAAAAATCGGCCTCGTGAACAGCGACAAAGAATACCAAACTAACCATCGATATAGGCCTAAATGCATTAGAAGAATCTACAGAGAAAGACCAGGTTTGTTACAAGTTGGTTGTTGCTTACTTCGATCCTGCTTGAGATGACACTATGAAAGGATCAGGCAATGACCGTGCTGCCAGCCATGCCATCGCCGCTGTAGCTGTGCACAATCTGGAGCCCCGTAGTCTGGCTCCAGACCTGTCTACTCTTTTGTATTACCTTGTCAGTGGCGCGGCGGGAACCAGTATTGTGCATGCTGCGCGTATGTGATTCTCCACAGAGCTGGAAAGATTTGTGGAAAATTTGTTTAACTTCGGAGCAGTTTGCCAATGTTCTGGTGACTTTTTGCCGGTATTTTAAAAGAACTTTTTTCAAATTTCTGATTGCAATTTTTCTTTAACTTAATATTAACAACTCTTCCCCTGGAAAATAGAAAGTGTATTGATTGCCTATTGGGGGATTTTCAGTGTGTCAGGGTTTTTGCTCAGCTTATCAGCCGGACATGCTTTTGAATGCCTGGCTAGAACACTGCTTCAGACATGGTTTTTGGCTGACCTGTTACGGAGAAATTGGTGCTGTGCAAGAACGGTATGGTTGATTTTCAGTTGTGTCAAACTGACAGCAAAGAGTTGTTACTCCTGAAGGTTTGGCTTATGAAAAAAAAAGGCACCACATTGATACCGGAAGAAATGTGGAAGTGGACCTCCGTGGCTCTTTTAGGCTTAATGACACATCTTTACCTCTCTCCTCAGGCCACACCTGAGAGGTTGATCTTGAATCTTATGGAGGACAGCTCTCCCGTCGATCCGACCTACGTGGAAGACTTTCTCATGAGTTATCGCACCTACCTCCCCAGCCCACATCAAGTATGTGACAGCCTTCTGCATTGGTTCCAAGACGTTAACCTACGAGACAAGGTATGGGATCATGAGTTCATGTGTCTGGTCTTCAACCTCTCCTTGCTTCAACCTTCTTCCCAGTTTCCTACAGCGTCATAAAGTGAAGAACACTGTATGTAGTCATATGAAGATTAGAATTTTTCATTTGTTTCCTGCGTTTCAGTTGCATTTCTGCTTGGGATTTTTATGAGACAGAATGTATACTTGTTTGGATAAAACTTTTTCTCATTTCTAGCAAGTTTGTCGGCTGTGTTCACATACATGTGGTGAAGCCAGATGTGCAGTAGGTTTATGATTAAGCTGACTTTAAAACTCTTGGGAACCACCTTGGAGTGTATGACAAACCCCAAGGATGGCCTTAATTCCATTTCCCGAGTTTATTCAAGCCGGATCATTTGTCGGAATTGTTTTCTGAAATGTCAGATTCGCACAGACCGCAGACTACTTGAAACCAAACTTCCATACAGTTTCCCGTTGTCGTGTACCCGGACCACCCAGTTGGTTTCAGCCCCACATAGGACCGGTGACTAATCTCGGCAAATTTCCTTACGGTTTTCCCGTTGTTTTTCCTGTTTCCACGTGCACAGTTGACATGGCAACGTGTCCTGAATTTGACAACCTCGCAGAAAACAAGTGACTAATCCGTCTCACTGTTCTGTGCAGTTTTTTCTCTCTTTTTTTTTGTGGTCCCTGGTGCACGGATCACATGAAATGAGTCAGACATTGAACCCCAGCCCGTTCTTTCCGGACCCTAAACCCAATCTCCCACCCCCTGTCCCCCATCTCCATCCCCCCTTCTCTTACCCCTTGGACCTCTTGCTGGTGCAGGTGACCCGCGTGCTGCTTCTGTGGGTCAACAACTACTACAGTGACTTTGAGAGGTCGCCGGACATGATCGAGTTTCTGGAGGCATTTGAGGACTGCTTAGAGAAAGAGGTACTGTGGAATGGGCGGGGCATGGCTCTGCTCCCAGCGTAGGTGGGCCGAACAACCAATTAGTTATGAAAATCTCTGTTGTGGAAATGAAGTCTTCAAATTCAAATAGCAGTAGTCTGTAGAGCAGCGAAGTGTGCGAACATTTTGAATCAGGAAATACCGTACAAATGAATGGAGTACGCATGTGTGTTCTTTCACGTGCCGGTTCTCGCCTTTTACACACATAATTGTGCGCATGACATATTCACTTTGGTATTCTATATTTCAGCTGTGTGGTGTGAATCACTGAGTTGGTTTTCACAAACTCGGTTTTTACAGTTGTAAATTTCATAGTTTACTTGTTTGTTTTTTTAACTTTGAACAGACCATGACTGGCCAGCTAAGATTACTTCATATAGCTGGGGCTGCTAAGGCCAAGCCTAGGACAGTTGTGCTGGTAAGAAGGAAATCACATGATGTTATCTTCTGAGTAGATCTATCATTTGGGGAGTTACGTTCGCCTTGTGGTTCTTTCCATGGCTTTCTACCACTGTCACCCAGGTTCGAGTCCCCTCCATACCAATAGCTGGATTGGGCTGTCAGGTCCTACCTGATTCCGGGGGTTTCCCTGGGATGTAAGTCCGGAGTTTTCCTCTCACTTCTAAAAGTGAACTTTTCTTCGTTGTCTTCTTACCCCAGGGCCTCTAGGGAGAGCATTTAATAACTGATAGGGCTTTAGCTTGTTTACATGAAGAATAGATCATTACTTAGGATTGTCTTGTGGATTACGCCCGAAATACTTGTCAGTCACATGTACAGTGTACCTCTGTGGAGAGTGGTTTCAGCCACAAGGCGGTATCTCTCTGTGAGATCAGCAGGTGACTGCCGATGTCTCTCTTTCTCTCTCTGTCATCCAGGCTCGGTCGGACCGTGACTCCATGCTATCTTTCTCCATCGTTGGAGGCTGGGAGAAGAAGATGGGCATCTTCATCTCCAAGGTGGAGCGTGGCTCCAAGGCGCAGACGGTGGGACTGAGGAAGGGGGACCAGCTCCTGGAGGTCAACGGTCACAGCTTTGAGAAAGTCACTCGCACCAAAGCCCTGGAGATACTCAAGGGAACGACTCATCTTAGTATTACCGTCAAGTATAACACGCTAGGTGAGCTTTCAATGTTGACTCAGCTATGAGTTGATTGTGGGCCACATTTGACATTTATGGCCCAAACAGTGAAAGTTATGCTTAACGTCATTTTTTTTCAGTGATTTTGTCTTGGTTTGCATTAGAAATAGCAAGCCAACCTTTTGTGTAGATGTGTCACTCAATTTGGTGTCTTAATGCCCCTGGGTGGCCCATTTGAAACTTTTAACACACCTTCCTCATCTCCATGCCTAGCATTTCGGGACCTGATCGCATCCCAGGACGGCGGCCGTAGCAACTGGGGCCGGCTGCCCAGCCAGGAGATCCAGCTCCTCCAGACAGACCCACGGGCCAGGCTGACCATCCCTGACCTAGCCCTAGCCGTACCCTTATCTCAGATGTCTCCCGAGATCAAGACCAAGAGTAAGCATGAGAAGAGAAGCGGGTTTGCCACACTAGGCCACAAGACCAAGCTGCGTAAGGCTATGGCTAAGCTCAGCATTCTACCCAACAAGACCACAGCGAGGTGAGTTTACATCTGACCACCAAAGCTCCGTCATGTTACGGGGATGCTACGGAGTGTTCCTCTGTTGTGGTCTTGTCTATACTTTCCTGTATGTTTTCCTGACCTTAGAAATGTAAAAAAATGGTCTGGATTTTTCTTTTTAACTTTTGAATATTATTTGAGAATTGGACCACAGAGAGCAAAAAAATTATCTTTGTTCTTCATAGTCACTTGTTGCTGCTTTCCACATGTAAATTATTGTGGAAATCATTTGGGCATAAGATGGATCTGAGCTCCAACAGTTTTAGTGCTGCAAAAGTTGCTGTACATCTGACATCTCAAAGTTGACGGTGAAGCCATTATGATTTAACTAGAGAGAACACTCATAATTTGACAGTGTGACACCACTTCTATCAGTTCTTGGTCGTAGTACGGGGGTGTTAGACCTAGGTTTCTTGTCCTCTTCTGGTGTTTCCAGGACCCAAGATGACTCCTCGACCCTCATGAGGCATTCCAAGTCAGGCAGCATCACCGGCAGCAACCCTTACCTGAGCAACAGTAACCCCGACCTGACCTCCATTGCCGCCATCCCCATGTACGAATCCTCTGCCTACATGGCTGGCAACGACTACCCCGAGCACGTCCTTAAGATCTACAGGGCTGACCAGTCCTGCAAGTACTTCCTGGTACACAAGGTGAGGCTTGGATTTTGGGTCAGAGGTCAGCTAGATCTTGACCTATTGACCTTTGTTTCACCATTCTAGTTTTTCTTAACTTCAGCTGTGTCATTCTAAAGTAATTTTTTCTAAATTTGTAATACTTCAGAAACTGGACCCTTTTTGTTTTTCAATCAACAGGAGACGACGGCGTTAGAAGTGGTGATGCTAGCCATGCGGGAATACGGCCTGACTGAAGCAGCCAACTCGGGCACTTACTCCCTCTGTGAGGTGACCGTTGCCCCAGGTGGGATGGTCAAGCAGCGCCGGCTGCCAGACCATCAGAGTGACGTGGCCGGTCGGCTGAGTCTATGTGGTCGGCTCTTCCTCAGGAACAACATGGCCTCGGAGACGCTCATGCCGGACGAAGTGGCCGTGGTGAGCCATATACCTCTTCCAAATGTCTAGAATTTCTAATCGGTAGAGATTGTTTGCACTGATATGAAGCCATGTCTGAATTACTTGGCTGTGACTTGAAATGACACATAGGTCTATGAGGATGTTTGATCTTGATTTTGGGGCTGTGTTCAAAATAAATTGTAGCTGTGGCTGTGGCTATGGCAAGTCACTGTGGCATGCCAGTGGGAAAACAAAACTTGTAGTCGCATAATACCAGTTTCACACATGGCTTGACATAAAAGATGGCAAACCACAAGGGATTGTAGTAGATTTGACTTCTAAATGTAAATGATATTACTGATAAATTGCAGCTTAAATTGTTTTAAAAAGTCAGATGTCAACAATGAAATCAATTTTGATTGATTTGATTTGTAATCAATTCAGGAGTTACTGAAGGATAGTCAAGTCACCTTCCTCCAATTGGATTCCAACGAAGTCGCGGCTCAGCTGACGCTGAGAGACTACGAGATATTCCAAAAGATTGAAGCTACAGACTACATAGAGAATCTCTTTGAACTCAAACCTGAGGACTCCAACAAGAGGTTACAGTCATTCGAGGAGGTTGGTACCCTGTGCAAAGGGTCCTCCGAATAAGTAATGTTGTATTTATAATATTGGATGGAATTTTCTCTGGTTGTGCTGTAATGTTTTAGAGCACTTTGAAGTTATTTATTGTGATAACTTTAAGAAAATTATCTGCAAATATGAAAAGAACAACTAGAAGAGTATAAAAAATATCACTTTTCAATTGAACAATTTTTTTTAGATTGTGAACAATGAATTATTCTGGGTGGTGACAGAAGTCTGTAACGAGATCACCTTGGTCAAGAGAGCTAAAATTATCAAGCAGTTCATCAAAATTGCAAGTAAGTACGACACGAATAATTCTGGTTTGTTACAATCAGCAAAAACTCCTGAAATGTGCGTGCACAATGGGCGAAATTGAAATTCCAGTAATGATGAAAGTGGACATTTCTGTATTGTGACAACATTTGGATAAACTTCATTGGATTTCTTTTCTCCTCGTGTTATCGGTTGCATTCTTCCTGCAGTGCCTGAGGATCTCTTGTACTTTTTTCCCAGGGCACTGCAAAGACTGCAAGAACTTCAACTCTCTCTTTGCCATCGTCAGCGGCCTCGGTCACGGCTGCGTCTCCCGCCTCCGCAGCACCTGGGACAAAGTCCCCGCCAAGTACGTCAAGATGTTTGAGGACCTACAGGACCTGATGGACCCATCTAGGAACATGTCCAAGTACCGGAATCTGGTCAGCTCCGAGCAGGTCCAACCCCCACTGGTAAGATTGTCTGGCCCACTAGTTATCAAGCCTGTAACCTAGTGAGTTGTGGGTGGATTACGTCCGGCTAAGGCATCTTGGCTGTTTAGAAACAGGAAGTATGCTGCTTGATAATATGCAAATGAGTTCCTTGGAACGTTCGACTCTTCAAAGTGAATCGTTTTGGCCTCTTAAAAATCTTACACCAATTTAGATTTTTTGGGGGGAGCTGTTTCAGGCAAACAAACGAATCAATATGCTAACATTTTTTTCCACGAAAGGAACACCTGGGTTGCTCAGCTTTGCTTCCAAAACGTAAAGAGAAAATCAAGGGTTACTGACAAGTAAGAAGTCACTATAAAAAGCAACGATATTCATTGGCTGATCCTTGATAGCCTTGGTTTGAGACAATCATTTTTGAAATCTTGACTGCTTTCTTTTTGTTTCCTTATTCTTCCGGTTCTTAGATTCCATTTTTCCCCGTGGTCAAGAAGGACCTGACCTTCATACACCTGGGCAACGACACCAAGGTGGACGCTCTGATCAACTTTGAGAAGCTCAGGATGATATCGCGGGAGGTCCGCTACATCGTCAGCATGGCCAACGCTGTCTACGTGAGTCCTGACCTTCTATTGTAGGAACTGGACTTCTTTTAGCAAGTTTGGATATTCACTTGAGTTTGCTCTATTTTGACAGAGATAATGGTTGGCTGGTAATCAGTCGTACGAAATTTGATAATTGGTGCCCAACGCAATGGTCACTCTTTGCAGCAAAAGTGTCTAAAAATATTTGGATCAAAACTACAGTCATACACTTACAGTTGATATATGTCCTGCTTAAGAAGCTATATTTTGGCTCAACAAGTAATCTGTCAGATTAGTGGTCTCTGTCTCTGAAGAGTCGAGGTGTTTTTGTCTAGAGAGTCTAAAAGCAGCTTGAAATTTGCTGCAGTGGAGTTTGACTTTGATTTGGTGACTCTGATTTCTTTTCTTCCTCCGTTTATTTGCCGATTTTCACTTTCCCCATCCTCCCTGCATTTCGCTTCTCCCCAATTTAACAGGACCCCAGGCAACTATTGGCTCCCAAGATGACCGGCTCGGGCTCGCCGCTGATTGGATCCAGCCTGGCCTCGGTCATGGGCGCCAGCGTCACCACGTTGCCACGGAAACGCAACCAGGGGCGCCGCAGCTCGGCGGTCATCAACCCAAAGAAGATGTGGGAGGAGGTAGGAAAGACAGAACAGCCAATAAGATATAAAAACCTTTGTTTCAACTGAAAACTGTGTAGCAATTCAAATAGGATCATAGCACAAGCTTTGATCAGGTTACCAAACGAAGGATGCTGACATAAGTGGGATTCGAACCTCCAAACACAGTGTTCAGGCTTTCCGCCAACCCCGCCAAATTATCAGTGTCTTTGTTGAGGGGTCACCTGTCATACTGACTGGGGATCTCCTTTCATCTTAACAATGGATCCAGGTAGACTCAAAGATCTCTGAGTGAGCGAGTTTTCAAAAAGCTTGTGGGTTTTTTCCTCTTCACCAGGCCCAGATGTGCCGGCGAGTCAAACAGTACCTGAGCGTTCTGAACATTGTACAAAATGAAGATGAACTCAGAGACATGTCACTCAAGTGTGAACCCATCGCCAACTCAGGTAACTCAATCCCCCCCTCTCCATGCTAAGTTTGTTCAGTGGCTACATCCTCTTCCAGTTAATTACTCTGAGCAGATGTTCTTTTAGTTGATGGATTCTGTTTGAGATAATGGACTGTACAGTTTTGGTTGTTAGGTTTTGAAAGGATCTGTAGGATATTTATAAAATTCTTTCTGGGGATGAAAAGTACTTAACATCAAGCGGTGAAACCAAGAATCTATTCTTTGCAGTTGAAAGAACAAGTGCGCTGAAGTTTAAACTTCAGTTGAAGTAAATTTCTTGTTAGATTCTTAGAGTGATGACAGTATTTTGTGCACTTTGAAATATCTTCTTGTAGCTGTCTACAATGCATAGATAGTAGTCGACCCATTCCTAAATATTGCACCATTTTTATGTTGATATTTTTAATGGTTTTATTATTAATTGTCCATTTTGCCCCTGTTGTTTCTAATAAAGCCATTCAAAGGATTACTGGTGGGGGTGAGTTGATATTACACGGTGTGTCACAGTGTCTGTCAACTAATCCCTTGTCCCATGTGTAGAGTTCTGATTCCGGCAGCCATCTTGGACAGGTTACCAATCTGTGATATTACAAAATCAGATTTACGTATCTCAGGCACCAGACTGTTTCAGGAGTATCACAAACATTTAGGCCATGTCCAAGTTTAATGGCTACGGCAAGCAATGACATATTGAAAGTTTCTTCGCAGTGGCCAAGTCTAGTTCCCTTAGACTTCGGTGTTATTACTATTTCTGGACATGTAAATTCAGCTGTGGCATTACTTGAATATTTGGAAACCAAGATGGCTGCAATGAAGTGAAGAGCCTGATGTATGAAAGTTTCTTTGGCTTGCTGTAAATGGAGTCGTGTTCTTCTTAACTGTGAATTTGTGTAACGTTCTCTTCTGCTATCCTGCAAATAAGTCCAGATTTCAACAATTTAAGTGCCAATAAGCCTTTCCCAAGTTAAATCTGAATAAAATCTGGTACGCTGAGTTATCCAATTGTACATAAATGTAACAATTTGAATTCCGCAGACTAAATACACTGTTGCGCTACCTTGTGATTCACGGAAAGCTTTTGCCTAGTGACCACCACCTCTGGAATGGACTGGTTCCTCTGTTCCCTTCTTATCTGTTGAAAACAGTGTATTGGTGCAAGGCATGTCTTATGTAAGCAAAAGCTTGCCCCGAACTGCGAGTCTTTAGTATGGACAATGCAAACTGTTATGTTCACGTGAATTTGAAGAACTCAGTGCACCTGATTTTATTCAAATGTAACTTGCAGAAGGCTTCTTGACTGTTTGTTCTGGCAAAGAGTGTATGTAAACCAAGAACCACTTAGTTTTTCCTGTGCCTCTGTTTTTTACTAGGCATGCTGAGTTGTAGGTGCCTGTTTTATTGTATATTTGTCCGCAGAAAAACGAACATGAAAGTATGCAAAGTCCAGCGATTTAGTGTGCTTACAGAGGTGTACTTGTACGTGCATTTCAGGGCAAACGGGGCCTACTTATCATTAACCTGCTGGCGATAGAACTGCACACTCTTGAATTGCTAAAAGTCCATTGAAGTCCTGAAAAAGACAGGGGATTGCAGTGAACTATGAATAGGGAAGTGGGTGGTATTTTCCCCTGAGGTAACTCAACAGCAAGCAGCAAGCCATTGAGGTCATGGATGGTCAACTCTTGTCAAAGCCTGGTATTTTGCCATTCCCTGTTCACCTATTCTGCTTGCCTGTGGTGATGGTACTTTATGAGTGTGTTGGGTTAACCTAACAAAAGAACCCACCCAGTGTGACCTTTAATTCTCTCTTTGTGGACCTACTAATAACTTTGTGAACACTGGTCTTTTTTTTCCCCAGAGTCCCTTTTTGCAACTAGAAAACGTGCACAGTTTCCAAATGGTTGTGGTTAACTTAACTGTTTGATTTTCTCAGTCCTTTGCACCCTTCCAATTTGTAGTTAACCCAGAATAAACTCCTCTTTCATCTTTCCTCAAATAACTCTCTATTTCCTTGACTTCGGTAACCTTTGATGTACACATTTCACACTTGCAAAAAGAAATCTTAACCCCAAAGCCTCACACTTGATGAAGTAATTGACAAACAAGTGACAACATTTATGACAATATGTTGTACTGAGGTGATACCAACTGCAGTACAGTACATAAAGTGGTTAAAGGTTTCTCTAAAACTGTGGTTCTATGTATTGCATTAATTTTTCTGTAGCTTTAAGATTTTGCATTAAGCGGGTGAAGAAATTATGCTGTATGTTTGCTGTGTTTCTTGTGGTGTGTGTCTGTTACTATTTGCCACTTTTTCCCAGCGGCGAAATGGTCTCAGTTTGAAGTAGAAATGTCAAAACAGGTGGCTTTGCATAGACTAGTTGTACAAATTCTATAAATTTTATTTAGCCCTGTGGTGGTTGTGAATTCTGTTGATTCTGTTTGGTAGAAACTAAAAGAAGTTTTCTCGCTGTGTTATCAGAAAGAAATGTTTAACCACTTGACGCCGGATAACATGCAAACACACATGACTTTCGTTATTTGTTAAACGGAGGACGTTTATGCTCGTTTAGGAATTGTTTTTTATTTCCGTGGTTGGTGTATGAAGGCGTCATGCTCTCTAGGGTCAAGGCACAATTGTAAGGTTGAAGAATTTGTGGGTCAAAAAATCCGCCACCTGCAGCTTTTTCGGGTAAGATAATCCAACGTTAACTGGTCAAGGCACTTTCTTACAGAATTCATGTGGATTTTTTATATTCTGTGGCTAATTTTGCAGGTTCTATGAACTCGGGACAGACCAGGCGGAGTTCCCAGACCAGTCAGAGTTCATTGACCTCCACTCTTGCCCCGCCCCCCACAACGTACAACAAGCAGGAAGAGGAGATTAAGAAGATTATCTACAAAGATGCACCCAAGACGTCCTTTGGTACGTAAGGGAAAGTCAGGGAAAACAAGGGGGCAGTTGTCAGAGCAGAAGGATTGTCTAGTGGTGGTAGAATTCTTGAATGCAGGTTGACTGACAAGCTAGGGAAACTTTGTCCTTGGGCAAGATATTTTACCGTGGTTGTGACACAGGTGTGGATGAATTGTGTATGGAGCATGTGGTTGCAGCTGTCAAAAAAAGATTCACTTGATGAAGGTGGGTCGAAACCTAGAGGTGCCGTCTTGCATTCTTGTGTCTGCAAGCTCGGTACTTTATAGTGGTCTTTTTAAGGCATCTGTAAATCAACCTTTTTTCACACCATTTGACTTGGCTATTTTTAGTAAGTAGCTGTAGTTTTTCTACAGATTCAGTTTTGTCAAATCCGAATGGGAAAGTGATTCTGAATGGTGGTCAACAAGTCGTAACATTCTTTAGAAAAGATTACACAAATTGTAAAGTAAGGCAAATGATTACTTCTAAGTTGTTTCCCGTCTTTTATCCTAGGAGCCACGTCACCCAAAAACCTGCGCAAGTTGTTATCCCTGTCGGAGGAGGGGGAGTCCCGAATTAGCACCATGAAAGTCCAGAAGTCGTCCCAGCCGCGAGGCCCCCCGTCCACCAGTCACTGCAAAGTAGGGCCAGCCTCCCCGACGTTGAACACCAACACCCGGACGAGAAGGGCAGCTGTCACCAGCCGAGGTTACAAGCCAGCTTTGTTTAGTTTGGACAAGACTGGGGTCCCAGAGATGCTCAGATCAGGGAAGATGGGACTTCAAAAATGAATAGATTCCCATTTTTGTGAATCAGCCAAGTCGTCATCATGACTTGAATGCGCTTAGTAAATGTGGCATTTGCCAACTGGAGTTTGAGCCTTCTGATTAGCATTAAATATGCTACAAGCCATGCCAGTCAGAAAATAGACTTGTCATATCAAATGGAGGGATTACTGAAGCTTGATGTCAGGTGCAAAATGGCCACTTAATTTAAGACTTTTAGACTCATTTTGTTGTAACTGATCACAGATTAAATTGATTCCTCTACAAATTTTCTCAGGGTCCTCTGTCAGTACGTCGTCTGCCGAGGGGAACGAAGGCCGTAAACTGAGCCCGCAACGTAGTGACAGTGGCTATGGGGGTAGCGAAGCAGGCTCTACTACAATGCAAGAGCACAAACCCAAACACAGACAGACAACAGGTGTGTGCTTAGGACCTTCTTAAAGGGGAGGGGCTTATTTGTAAAAGGGGGCGGAGGATCAGAAGGAAGACTGCAAGAATGAAACGAGTTGATCTTGTGGGATGACGTGACTGGACTAGAGTGTGGTATATGTCAGTGGCAGTTACGCACTGCCATCAAAGTTTGGATGCCAAATATTAGTAATTAGAAAAAGAAGCAAACTTTCAGGTGGAATAGCTGTCAAAATGATAAGGGTGCTTCTTCTTTTTAATGACAGGTTTTTGCCCCTCTTAAAGGAGTGCTACTCCTTATAACAACATTAATTTACTTGTTTTTCTGAAGTTGCTTTTGCAGTGTGGAATTCTGATTCAACATTTTGATACCTTGTAGATCTTGACCCAAATCAATATTGACCAGTCCGTGTCAGAGTGGACATTGAGTATTAGGCAGTACACATTGGATGGAGATTAACAATGAGCAATAAACCACAGAATTGTGTTTCTTCAAAGAACTGAGAAATTTATATGCCAACTGTTAATTTGTGTTACATTTTGTTTCTGATTGCCAGGGCAACAGCCTGGCATGACTGGACCTTACGACAGTTCAGATTCTAGCCAGAGTTGTCTGTCGTCTAATTATGATACTCAGAGCAACTCGTCGTTCGGTTCGTCATCACCGCCAACAAGAGATCATCAGTTCCACAACGGTAGGAGAGCTTGTCTTGTTCAGGCAGTTTTCATGATTTTCCAACCTACATTTAGTTCATGGGGAGAAAAAATTAAGCCTTGAGTTAGTGATTCATGGCATTGTAAAAAATGCATCTCTTGGAAGAGGGTCTACACTGATGCCAAAATGTTTTTCCTGGAAATTTGTGTCAGATGTTTTGTATGTTTGTCCTAGATTTGCCAGGAGCTCCCACAATGCCTCTCAACAACCAGGTGAAGCCTGGTCGTAGGTGGGTTAGCCAGGAAGAGCGATGTACCTACCCAGACAGGCCACGCCAACCTCCAGAATACCATGCAGCTACCAAAGGTACACCGCCGAAAAGAACAGGTACGGCGTGACTTTTACTCCCCCCCCCAAAAAAAAATAATGAGAGAGAGAAAGCTGAAAGTTGTATCTCCAGAAAGAAGACACAGAAAACGGCCACAAATGACATGTTCCCAGATGGGGCACAATTTGTAACGGTGTCCTGTTACATGGGCAACTTTTACCACCTGTCATGATCGGTAGAGTAGGTCATTTACTCTGTAAAGATGACACACACCTCTGTATTCAGCCTTGCAAGATGTATAACAATATCAACTTGGAACTCACATGCAGGGAAGTAACTGTTCATTTTTATGAAACCCATGTAACAAAGGACACTGTCACAAATTGTGCCCCAACCTCATGGAATGACCCCTTCTATAAGTCCGTCACATATCCATCACAGGCTGCCTGGTCTCAAGCCATGCCACAAGCTATTCAAACAAATTGTGCCAGACATTTCATTTTTTTTATTGCCTGTTGCTTGCCAGCTGCCTTGTTAAAAGACCCTTATGAGAACTTTTTATGAGAGAATTTTATGTTAATTGGACGTTGAATGGACTTGACTTTAACTCTGCCCATTGCTGTGGGAAAGAAATGTGATGTGGCGCTAATCTTGTTCATTTTATAACTCATTAATTGTCTGATTCTTTGGGCCGTCATTTTAAACCAACAATTGAATGATACTGGACCAAATTCATTAATATATACTGACATTGACTTCTCTTTGTCTGCTGTGCTTTGTTTACTAATAGGGAGGTCTTATTCCCAACCACCCTCTGCTGCCCCTGACATGACACAAAGGCAGCCACCAGACTATGCTGTTGCCACAGCCAGGAAACGTAAGCACAAAATAACATCACTCGTCTGAAATTAACACTCCATTTTGGAATATTTAACCCCTCACTCAACATATTGTGGTGACTGGATGTCCTGTTTGATTTGAAATGATGGTATTGGTGTGTAAAACGCTCAGTGGGAATCTGTTGATGTGAGATATTACACTGGTGTCGCTTTGACACCAAGCATTTATCATCAAGGATTCAAGCTTGCTCACAGACTTGATGTTCCTGGTTTTTAATGACCCTGACCGTGAGTCTGTTATCTTTCCAGGGGAACTGTCCAGTTCCAAGACAGAAGCGTGCGACTTCTACGACTCGGGTATGCAAGGAACAGCTTACATCAAGTCAGTCACAAGTCTATCGCAAGTCAGATCACGAATCGGGTCAGAGCTACAGAGACTGACGATGACAAAGGAATGGCTTTGTCACACTTTATGTCAATAGCTGGCAAACTGACCTAGGACTGAATGACCTGTGACTGACTTGTGGTGACTTGTGAGTGTCTTGTGAGTGTCTTGATATCAACTCTGGTAACAGGATTTCTTACCAGGTCCCTACTCACACATGGCCTAGGCTCTATTGATTTGTAAAAAATAGGAAAATCTCATGAAATCAGCTGAGGGAGAGAATTGCATTCGTAAATTGCAAAGTGCTGACGTTCAGAATTTTAATGTATTTTTGCAGGTGGATAAGGGAGATTTACATCAACAGCGTATTCAAACTGGGTAACTCTGAAAAACTGTACCCAAATATTCCGTGTGTCCTTTAACATTTGACTTGCTCCTTGAAATGAACTAGCTCTGAGCAGTCAGTTGGCTGTTTTTTTGTTCTTCCACAGATAACGAGCAGGTGTCTGTCGTATGACTAGGCAAGGAAGATACTTCCTGATACTGTATATTTGGGGACTATTTACAAAGGACGAAGTTCAGCCCTGTGTCGTCTTAGACTCGCTCCACAACTTTTCCTTTTTGGTCCAAGCACACATGGGTGAGGAATTTGAAAAGCTGTGATGCGGATTGTCCAGGTCCTTTGGAACTCTGATGCTGAAGCATGGAAATCCATGGTGAGGAAGTCAGGGAACTGGACTCTTGTGGACGAGTCATCAGAGAAATTGTGTGTGAAACAGTCAGATGCCAAGAAGGTCCGTTGCCACAAGATGGAATCTGTGCTGAGGGAGTCAGGGAACAGGACTCACAATGATGAATGGATTCCTTGCAGCATGTAAACACACTGAAGAATCCTAGCTTAAGTAGTCGGGGAACATGACACATGATTGATGACTGATGGTTGATCACTTGCAGGCACTGTGGGCGTGGTGATGTGGACCACAAGATGAATTGTGTGTGACGTTAAACGAATGGCAGGATTTTGTGTTTGTTTATTGAATGGGCTAACTGGTATCACGTTCAGCGATTACCTCCTTAAACTCTCATAAAAGTATTTCAAGTTCGCATTCGTGCATAGGCATAAAAAATTCAATCACATTGCACCAGGCAGAAAATTGTCTTTAATACGCACATGAGGACAACCTACTGTTGGCCCCTTCCTGCACAATAAGAGAAATGATGGAAAGACTGAGAACCAGTCTAGTTTACCAAAAATACCAAACCCCTACCCGTAAATGGTAGAGCCCACTATTCATGAAAGGGGTTGGTAAAACAAAAAAAGTTGCATCGTGCAGGTCCGGCTGTATTTCACGTTGTGTCCACGGGTTGAAGAGGCAGCCCCAAAATATGTATTAAGCTTCTGGTCATGTTGCAATTTTGATGTTTAATGTCATGTTTGAGCCCATCAACAAATTTTTAACTTCTTGGCAAGAATGTTCTAGAGCAGGGCCAACATTGCATTGCAAACAGTTTAGAAGAAAGTGTGAAATAAAAAACTTTGCAAAATTCCACAGGAAAATACGCCTAACCTGTGTGTAAGCAGCACTTAAGCTGATATGTAATTGTGCTGATGTTACCGTCCTGAGGTAAGCTTCGTGCGAAGGAAATCCATACTGCAAGGCTAATTGCTCCCCAAAATGGCGAAAGTAATCCTTGCACTAGAATGGAGAAAAGATTGAACCACCGAGAGTGGCTTATCCTGCCACAAGGGCACTCCCACTAAAACTCCTCTGTTTATTCTGTGAGGTCTTGAGCCATCTACAAATGTTGAAAATTTGGCTGCGACTGTTGTAAACTCGTTCAAGCAAAACAGGAATTTCTGAAAAAAAGGAAGGATATAGATTTGACAGAGATTTTGTACCTCCTGAAGGCTTTTTGGCAAAAATACAAATGATATAAAAGAAAAAAATCGGCATTTTGTTTAACACTTCCTTTGGTGTTGCTGAGAAAGAAATTCAATAAGTCTATGATAATCAGGGATGGCTTTCATACTCATCCTACCCCATCGCCTACAGAGGAAGTTGGTACCAAATATCCTACCCCATTGCCTACAGAGGAAGTTGGTACCAAATATTTAAGAGCTCAGATTGGCTGGTTTCTGAGACTTTCACGTATGAGAATGGCTCTTACAGTGTTAACATTTCAGTCCTTTGAAAATTCCATAATTTCCTTAGAATTTGAAAGATTTGGTTGTTTTTCCTTCCAACAGTATTTACAGCACTCTGTAATCCTCTTCCCATCAGAAACTAACAATTGTTAACTAATCGTTATGAACCATTAGAATCCAAAATGCTCTTGCCAATTAACTATCATGCCAAGAAATAAAACAAATTATCTTGGCACCGTCCAAGTATCTGAACTTTACATCTCTTTGAAGTAAAACTGAAGCATTCCATGCCAATAAAAGGAGAAGGAAGAGATGACAGAGAAACGGAACTAAAGTTGTATTCAGAGTTGTAGAATATCCTCAAAAAAGTTTGAATGTGTAATCAAGGGGAAATAGTGTGCAGTTGTTTTCTAAGTTATTAAACAATGTATTCTGGTGGTGAAAAAAAAAACGGTTGGCAGCTCATTTTTTATTACGTAAATGTTGATTGAAAATAATCCTGGAGAAAGATATTCACAGAATGTTTAAACTAATTCAAATCACAAAAATACCATTTCACTTTCTACTAAAGCCAAACCTCGACCATTTATTTTAACTATGAATACGTGTTTTACAAAGTTTTAATCCAAGCAAGCATTGTGTAATATAATTTTTAAAATGTAGTGAGGTTTTCTCAATTTTCCAGGGAAGTTTTGTTTTATAGGGAGTAACTTTGCTAAATAGGGAGCACAGATCACAAGTCTTAACCAGTTTAATCATCATATAAATATGTGCTTCACCAGTCATAAACGGGCATTAAGTACTAAGACTAATTAAACTCCTTTCGTGAATGTGCTCTAAATATGTGCTTCACCGGTCATAAATGGAGGTTTACTACTAAGACCGACTAAGGAGACTGGACGTGAGTGTGCCTAAGCCGCAGATGAGGGCAATTTCAGTGTTCAGTCTCCTGAGCTGGTCTTAAACGTTAATTTATGACTGGCCAAGCACATTCATTCCCATTCGTAAATACTTTTCGAGTCAGAGAGTCAAAATAAGTCAGTTATGATGAATTTTCAACGATTTTGTTCCAGAATTTTACTCTCATTTTCCCTAACACCCCCATGCATTTTGTGGTATATTCCTTGGGCAAGGTATCCAATACTATAGAATCCAATCAGAATTGATGAAAGTCTCTCGTGTCCAGGTGCTAGTGCCTGATTAACGCAACGGCATTATCACTTCTCAGCAGACTTTATCAAATGTTAATACGCACTCAAGTTGCATGTTGTTGAATAGCAGACTGAGGTATCTTAATTTTGCTTCCAACTTCGACAAAAAGATAACATTAACACCAAGTCTCAAGCATGCAACTTTTCCTTGAATAAACCCATTTCCTTGGTTTTTCTTTGTACTTCCGGGTATGTCATCACAAATTGAAAAGAGCTGTCCAAAGTTTTGTCCAGTGTGGAATTTCGGCATTGTTCCTGATGTACATTTACTTCCACGTTTCTCTTCAGTAATAAGAGTTCCTGCAAGGCTTGACTGTTGACTCCTCTGGCATTGTGCCCATATATACTTCAAATGTCCTTGAAAAAAATACCTGTTTTGGTACTTCAACCAGCTTTTTTTGCAGAGTTGCATGATAAGCAACAAGACTGTGGAAATTCCACACTTGAACTCGACTGTCTGATGAGAATACAGCAATGGCTCGAAGTTACAGATAACAAAAGCGGAAATTTGTTCTAAAACCTATCGAGAAGTTTGTCAGTTTTTATGTTATTAAAAGCCCCAAATGAGAGGATTTGTGTTGAAAATTTAGGATTTATACCATGCCGTCACCCATTGGGTCTGTAGTTTTGCTTGTGGAAAAGACTTGTTTCCACAGTCGTTGGTAACCGAAATGGAACTAAATTCCTTGGAGTATTTTAAGGAGAGAAGCAATTTTTTTTTTTTTAGACTTTTGGTGAAAGAGTTGGTTAAAAAGATCGTAAAAAAGGCCAACAAAAATAGATGAAAAAAACAAAGCGAGGTCATTTGTAATATTTCATTGTCTCACTTTTGAGAAAGTTTTCCCATTCCAGGAAACATGTCAGTAATGTGCGCATTTGTGTATTACCATTATTTGTAAATATGTATATAGGTTTTTTATAGCATCATACTCTGCTGTACAGTAGGCTAAATGCTCAAGTGTTTTTTGTATGGTATTATTGCCCAAGACAAGATGAAAAGCTTGCTTGCTAGTTACAGACAAAAATGGAAGGCTTTTTGTGTGAAGCTATATTTTCTTGACGCTATAGTTCTTTTGCTGTTGTGTAAAGTCTTCAACATTTATGTATATGAATATTTACCGTGTTGTTGGCTGGGATGTAGATATTTGAAAGCCTTAGGCGCGTACATAGTATCTCTGGTGTTTGTACAATTACCCGTGCTGCTTGTGCATTAGGTAGAAATTTCCGCCATGTAACCGTAAAATGAATCTATAATCACACCTGTTCAGTATGTAAATTCAGCAAACGGTGGAGTGCAGATTCGCAGGCCATAATTTTGAAGACTATTTTATTGTGATATATCGGTTATTTGTTTTTACCAACTGTGCTGCATGTGGCTTTTGGAATGCAAACCTTTCTCCCAAGCTAGACTATTTTGCTTTGCTTCATTGTTGTGTGTTTGTTTCAGTTTTTAAATTTATTTTTTATTTGTACTTATTTTAATCATGTTTTTGTTATTGTTTGTGATTTAACTTTCCCAGTTCTCCGAGCCGAAAATACAAAACTCGAGTGATTGAGGCCTGTTTTGGTAAGACAGCAAGGGAGAGCGTAATATAGTAAACCAATCTGGCCAGTTATATTTATGGCCCCTTTCTGGCGTAAAAATCTCAATGTATTCTGTTACATGCCTGGTTTATTTGGAGAGATTTACTTGTAAAACAAACGTTTCGTATAAAATACACACGCATCAGACCATAAAGTCGACTTGGTTCTCTGAGTTAATTTGAAAAGTCTGAGACTTAGAACGTGGAGCGAATTTTGGTCTGAATAGTCAGGTATTGCCGATGTTGATTCAGACAGTATTGTAATAATTCGTGGAACTTGACCAAGATGTCTGCGGCATGAAAGGTCTCATTACTGACAATAGTGTTGTATTCCAAAAACTTGTTGTTGAGAATATTAAAAATTAAATAGCCTTGAAACAAAGGGATGTTGCTGGTCGGTGCCGTAAAGTCATTCTGACAAAAGTACAGATGGGCTGAAGCCTCATCACTGTTGCGTAAACTCCATTGCATTATGATTTGAAAACCCGACTTATAGTTTTTAAAAGTAGAGAAAGCGTGAAAAACTGCAGAATTTAAAATGCAGGAAGGTCTTGTATTTGGGTGTTCCGGAAAGTAACAAGGAAAAGTTGCCTTATTGGTTGGGAAAGGGAAGCTTGAATGGTTGGGGATAAACCTGGTAATTGTAGCTTCCCATTTGTGGACTTTTGATCCATCGTTTTGAAGTTAAAAAAAAACCGAATTGGTTTGTCTTTCATATCAACGAGGGAGACTGGTGTCTTTTGTCACCCGGGTCGTGTTCAATTCCTGCCTGGAAATATCCAATATTTATTATATAAACATTAGTTTTCAAGAAAGTCTCTGACCTTGAGACAAAACTTAATTTGTGTAAAAGATTCGGGGAGGGCGATAACTACTTAACAGAAAAACCAACTCAGCGACGGATGTCAGTTGGGCCTGATAACATCTCTTTTCCGGAAATCTGTCTTTTCTACGGTCTGCACGTATCAAAAATATTGTTGTTTGTTAACAGCGCCCTCCATATAACTTTCAAAGTTGTAATTTGACCGGAGGGTCTCGTGTAACCTTGCCCTTTTGAAACAAGGAAATCGCTCACTTCATATAGTCACTATCACCAGCGGTCGTAAAAGTGGCTTGATGAAGGATGCCCCAAACACAACCTGTGCACTTTTTTTGGTCCCGTATCTGCTTGTAATCATTAAACTTTCATCAAGAAATAGAGATACTTCACGGAGACTTTGAACGAAGGAGAAAAATATCTTTTAACTTTATCTGTTACAGTAGAGTCAGTCTGTTTGGGAATACTATGAATTCCTAGAGACTTCTGGCTTCCGAGTCCTCGAAGGCTCTACTTTGTCTTATTTTTTTGCATGTTAATATCTGCTTTTATTCTCAGGTTGGGAGACGTTTCTTATTTTCCTTTTCATTGAAAAAATATTTATCGGAGCTTGAGTCATTTTGTTTGGAAACATGCGCAAAACACGCTTGATTTTCGACCATTGAACCGGACGCGTTTTTAGGATTGTGTAATTTTTGCAAAGTCAAATATTTATTGTACTGGTGTCGGATTGTACTTAATTTTCTGCATTTTGTAAAACTGGAACCGTCCGCGACTGTCGAACTTTGGACCCTGATAGCAGACAACCTGCTGTTTGTAAAGTGACGTTTATCACCCCGCGTCGATCACTAGGCTACTCTCAGGTGGCAGCGAATCGGCTTATCTTTTTAGGGACTTTCCCAATTGTTGTCATGATGGGCTTTCCCTTTGTTTCCGAGTTGCTTTTGTCACCAGCTCCACTTGACGCCGCCGACCCTGTCTTGTGGTATCAAAAATCGATTGTCGCAACTGACGACTACAACTGAATGTGTGGGAACCGCTTGAGCAGAACAAGGTTTTGATGTTATCCTAAATTGTAGAAGGGAACCAGTTTGGGAATATTTCATTTCTTTTTTTGGGGGTGTGTGTGCGAATTATACCATGGAGCTGGGCACGGTGAAAATGAAGTTAGAAATCGCCCAGCTGTTAAATTCACCAAGTTCATTATGACGAAGCAGATCAATCCTTGGTTAAGTGCCCACAAAATCCTCTAAGTAAAAGGCCATAAGAATGATTCTATTAGATTTCAGTTTTTCCTGGAGAAAAAAATCCCAGTATAAATTTAAATTTGAAATCTTCACAATTTGGCGCGTGTTACGAATTTACTCAACTGGAATAATGCACTGGCGACTATGTCAAGTTTAGTTAAATCTAGTCTGGCCACCAGTATACCGTATTAGACGGTACCACACATTTATCGCTGGTACCGTGAGGGGGCCCGACACTTGTTGATGTGACCCCAGCCCCATGTGGGGCCGTGAACTTTGAAGTGATGAACCAGGAAATGCAGAAAGGAAGAAATTCGCTAAGCACTGGTATTCGATACGTCGCATTCGGCAAGGAGAAATCGTCGCAACTAATGCTGTCATGGCGGTCAGTTGATGAATTTCGGTAAGCGTTTGTTGAGTTTAATTCTTTACGGTCCCAATGAGGTCTGCCAAGAACTTTCGAGCAGCTTTGCAAGGAAACTGCTCCGCGCTCCGTGAACAGGGTGGACACTTTTATTTTCCCACCAGTCTCAATCATTGCGAAATATATTCATTGACTGACCACAGATGCATTGATCTGTGTCGGTGTGAATATATGAAGGGCCAAATATTTGGGGAGCCATCACTTAATTATGCCACCTTTACATGCTTTAGTTGATATTTGTTGAAAAGTTCCACGTGCATGATGTCCAGTAACGTGTTGTAGTTGAGATCGAGTCTGTCATGTCAGTGTCACAGCATGGAGGAATACGTGTAAGTTCCTCCATGGTCACAGTGTCACTTGAGTTCTCGAACTTGAAACTTACGATAGGTCAGTGTGTGTGGAGTCACACTCAGGCTAGGATAACTGCTTCAAGTATTCCTTAGTTGTCTGTCTGTTCATTCCTTATTCATGTGACTTGACTTCTCATTGCTCTTGTAAACTGACTTGTTGTGACGATTGGTTTTATAATGAACTTGACTGAAACTTGTAAGAATACAAACATAGCCTGCTAAGAAGAATCCTTCACATAGACCATGCATAATGTGTATGGAACTGAAATCACATTAAAAGACTATATAGATATGGTGTGCATGATCGGCCTATGTATGTATTTGCGATCATCGATCACTTAGTGCGCGATGTGTCAGTAATTCAACCATCAGCCAGTTGCCTTTTCTTCTATATTTACATAGTTGTGAAAGATTGTTTCACAAAATTGAAGTACCGGTATTCGACCAACCATTCAGAGCGATCAGGCAGTCGTGCAGTTCAGCTGATCGCGCCAGACAGAATTTTCAGTTTTTCAAAAAAATCTACATGTGTGCATGGATATTCCCCCATTTTCCTTGCAGTTGTATTCGTCCAAAGTATTTAGTCTAGACCTTTCGTTTTAAGGATACATGTGTGTACACTACTTTCCAATTTTTCTCAAAGGGAATATCATAAAATAATGTCACTGAAGTGGTGCCTCAGTACATACAGTCCCTGAGTCCCAGCCATTTCCTGGACTTGTGTCGCACTTCTTAAATCAGTGTCTGGCTAAGTGTACTTGGCAATTATACAAATCACATAAGAGGAAAAATACATGTTTTACCCTCCACTGATTTGCATTTACTGTAAAGAAAACAAAGTAAGTGGTAAAATGTGATGTGCATCCTCATGAGCAGGATTTAGGAAGGGAAAAAAGATTAAACATACGATACTTAACAGAGATGTGATGGGAGAGTGCAGATTTTTCAAACAAACTTTTTAGAGCATCTTTGCGAGAGACACCCACTGTGCAGGAAACCAGCAGCACATTGTACTTGTACGGTACTTTCAAAGGGCACCAAGCCTTGTGAAAAAAAATGGTAACAGTGACCAGATTGAGAAGCTCCTGCATAAACCTCTCAGTGGATTTTGAGTGACCCGAGGGGTGAAGAGATTTTAACTTTGTCTCACCTGGATTGCGATAGTGTGACCAACTTAAGTTTACTTACTCAATCAATTTTGCACCCGGGAAGCTTGAACCTCAATTGAAGCTTTTGATGAGCAGACTATAGGCTACTTGGTTATCATGTCAAAAATGTTACTGAGGTGAATGTTTATTTGTAAAAATGCATTCCATTTTCCTGTGACCAAAAGCCTTAACTTAACCAATGCATGTGTACATGTATGGGTGCAGACTTATGCATGTGGTACGGTATGGGCACTTACTTAGTCAGGTCCCCAAATTCATGTACTTGCAACTGTGGTCATGGGTAAGAAAAAGAAATTTACACTGTGACATGGTGACAGGGTACAAGGCGACAAGATCTGTAAAGCAGCGATAAGTGTCTTGAGTTGTTTGGTTAATTAAAGTTGCACTAAAGTTACTAAGCTTGATACAGTTAACATGTAACAGGTTTTCTTTTATCCTGTAAGAATGTATACCTTGTCTGCAATTGTCCAATGAATTTGGTGAAGTGTTTTTGTGAAAGCTTTTGAAGAACTCAAATGTTGTCAAGAGGCTGTGTTTATTTTATAAATATTCATAATAAATGCTGCCCAGTTTGTTGAATAAGAATTTATTTCTGAATTTATCCTTGCCAATGATGTCACAAAGCATAAAAGTTACAGTATGAGGTCCAACAATCCTTCCCTACCAATTTGTCTAAAAGGAGTATGATTTCTGGTGTATGTTTTGGAATGCCTTGACATCTGTCATAATCTTTATTTTTCAAGGGAAAAGCAGTTTGCAAACTACAGTTAAACTTTCTCAAGGCGTTTACATGTCCTCGAATGACAACCTTTTTTGGCCTGACCTTAAACATACATGTAATAACCTGCTTATGTCTGTACATGTAGTTGACCTCCTTGGAGCTAGCTCTGGTTTGATGAAATTGTCACTTTCAGTTTATGAGTCAACACTTGCATAAGGGTCATGGCTGCTTGTATGCCTGTTCATAGGTTAATCTCGTTAATGGTCTTCGTTATCCTTGTTGGAAAAGAAAGAAAATTCTTCAAGCTAAACCTTCTGGCCGAATTCAATTTTTGGTATTGAGTGTGAAAGATGGAACGTTTGTGTCATTTTGTTTGCCACTTTCTGGTTTGCTTGTTCTTTTGTGTGAATCCACGGTTGAGTCACTGGCTATTGTGTGGCCTTGTTTGTATCAAAAGGTTTTTGTTATGTAACATCAAGGCTGAATATCATGGACTAATCCTAGTTGAATAGGCTGGGGATTTCCCGTATTTTTTTCCCCTTAATAGCAGAGTATGCAGTCAACCCACCAGCAAACAAAGGTTGTAGCTCTCGTGGAAATGTTTAAAAATGATCTTCAAGAGTTGAAGGGCAGTGCAACAAAACTGAGAAATCTGTTGGAAAACTATTATCTGTCATGGAGAGCTTTCTGATCGCAGAAACAAAAACCTCAACTCATTTGTCCCATAAACAAATCCCCCCCCCAAAGGAATCCAGAGGCTCATCCCTAGTCTTAAGTTCTACGTGTACATGAAGCATGGAGCTCTTAAACACTAGAACTTAGGGATTGCTGACAGGAGCCCATAGCTTTTGGGGTCACACATAAGTGTAGTGCATTTACATGTATGTATGCACCCTGCCGGCAAAAATAAGTGGGTATAAATTCCAGGAATTAGGGGGCCAAAAGTGTGACAACTTTGTGTCCCTATTACGTCTGACCTTTGTTACTTGACATGGAAGTATCACCGGTATTGTTTTCCAAGTATTAGTATTTCTTTGCCAGGTAATTACATTAATTCATCACTCTTGGAAATTAGAAAATGTGTTCTGAACTTACAAAATCATTCGTCAGATGTGACAGGGACATGAAAAAAAAAGACCCCTTAATTTCTGGAATTACCCAAGTTGGCTGGACGTGTACCTGATACAGTCCTTCAGAATCCCTGAACAACCCCAATGGATTTGGAAGAGTCTGGAAAGGTCTGGTTGCTTGGCACCCAACTTTAGTCCAACTCTTATCTCTTCATTTGCTCTGGAGCCAGAGTGATGCATTTATCCCTCACAGACTACAGCATAATTCCTTTATGTCCATTGAAACCATAACCTGTCTTCCTACCTTGTCATCTTTGAATGTTTGAAAAAGAACAACACAGGATTAGTTTGGATGTTGTCGTAAAGAGTTCTGTATTTTTTTTACTTGTTTATTTTTTCTCAGTTGACTACTGTTCAGTGTTTACAAGTACATGACTCGTGCATATCTATTTTTAAGCTTTAGAAAACAAGTGCAATGTACTGTAGAAACTGTGTGTAGTGGAGGCTTCCTAAATGTTGCTATTCGTTTTGAATGTAAAGTGAAGCTTGAGTTACCAAAGAGTAATGTACTCGTACTTGCACTTTAATTGCATGACGAACTTCATTAAACTGTATCAGTGCTATGGAGTTCTTTCACAAAGGCATGCCAGCACTGTGCACTTTAGGTATTGCTATCTCTCTTTTTGGACTGTAAACTTTCAATCAAACTGCCTTGCAGAGGAAATGAATGTTTAAAGGAAGTCACGAGTATTTGGCTTCACATTTTCTGTGTGAAAAAATCAAACCAGAGCGAGCAAAAACTGGCCGCATTTTAATTCACCCGTAAATATCATGTCATCAGTCTTTTCTGCTTATACCTGTTTTAGTCATTCCTTTCTGAACTTGAGATGTGTAATAACAAGAGTTTGTTTCCATGCAATTGTAAGGTTAAATGTACATCATCATTTGACAGAATACAGAGCTGTTGTACATACATGTAGAGACCATCTTCATTTCAAAGTTGCTAGCCACACCTTCCAAAGGACAGTAACAGAGAGAAATGTCATAATGCCTGTAGCAATTTTAGAATCAACATTTGTAGCAAGCTTCCTGCATTAGCATTAAATACACCGTTACATGAACATGGCCACACGGGTCAATGCCCATTCTCGTGGTGCATATAAGCAACAAAGCCGGCGATTCATCACCTGATTATTAATTGAGAGGATTTCCTCATTTAAACCAGGAACAAGATTGCTTCCAGCTTAGGCCTCATGCTAGGCATTTGACAGTCATGGAACATGTTGACCACACAGCCCATCCAGGAAAAGGCCATCCAAGAATTTGTTCTTGTTTATTGGAAAAGTTCCCAAATTGGTTGGTGTGGGTTTTATTTTTAAATGGCTATTGGCAATTTCAGGAATTACAACTTTTATATACATAGTAGATACAAAATTTGAAAGCAGCAGTTGTCAAAGTAAGAAAGGAAGGTGAAATTATGTAAGTGTATTGAGTGCAGGGGTTTGAGAATTCAGCTTTTTAGCTGATTTCAGCTTATTTTGCTTAGATGTTAACCCTGAATTTCATTTTTTTTTTGCACCTGCTTTGCACAAACATATGGGGATGTTTTACATTTCAGCGTGCCGCTAGCTATTTTCAGCTTTAATTTTAAGTGGCCACTCACACCCCTGTGAGTCAACTGTTAGGAGAACTTGCCTTGACCAAAAAACCTTGAGCACCACAAAAATCACCTCCTTACATTAATAGGAAGAACACAACAAGGGGATTAGCTTCTTTTTCTGTTCCAGCAAAACTTCAGAATCTGCCCAGAATCTCAGATTTATTTGTTGTTTCATTTTACCAGGGTGGCTCCGTAAACCTAAGAACTCTTGATGAGGAGTGGCAGGTCTTTGGCTTCAGTGATTGTTATCACTTTTACCTCTCCTATGCCCATCTTGTGTGTGATGAACAAAGAATTGGCATGAATGAATAATAATAATAGTAATAACTGCTCTATCTCCTTGGAACCTTAGATCAGAACACTAAAATAACACAAATTGCAGGACATTAAAAACCGGTTACACCTGAAAGTACGTACACAGTAAAATGTAGTAATCAAAAAAGATAAATCTTTTCTTGAAAGACCGTAGGGAATCTTAAAAACCTTGTTTACAGTTTATTAAGTTATCAATTTTCAAACGTAAGCATTATAACTGAACACTGGACATGAATTTGAAAGTATGTACATGTCCGCTATACATGTACACGTGGATTGCAGAGAATGTAAGGTTATGACAGACTTTGAACATTTTACCATTCATAATTATATCTACAGTACTTCTACATTGATGTGTTGTTCGTTATAATTTCCAAGCAAAAGATGATGTCATCAGGATTGCGGGAAATTTTGAAAGTTATTTCAAAGTCCACTGTTTATTTAGTATAACGGTATGTGTACACAGGACATAACAGATATCTGTGTGTTCCAGTGTAAACTTGCTCTCTGACATGACAAGCCTATTTCCAGTGCCCATTTCAATGCTTGTCAACTCCCCTTAACAACTACCACTGAACGTTGTTCGGCTTTCTTGATGCCACGTGCATTACATGTAGTTGGATGGAATCCCTGGAGAACAATTTTTGCTAATGATTCAAGTTAGAGGCTTCTTCTACATTGGCAGTTTGACAATAGAATCATTATTTGGTTAAAAATACCGCTGCACATGTCGAATTATTTCTCAACATCAGTTGTTTTGGGAGGAATTAAAAAAACTTGTCAACATGTTTATTTTCATCCAGATAAAGTGAGCTGGTGACTTTGTGCTGATTTTTTTTTTGATGACCAAACACACAAAGAAGCAACATGGAGAGTAAGTATATGTAATATTTGGAGGAATGAGTTTGATGACTTATGTCGGGGTTGCAGAAACCCAAGAATATCTACTGCAGAAGCAGCCTAGATTTTTGTCCAGATGTTAGAGCGGGTTGGAGATATGCTTTATATGAATTAGTCCCATTGTCCTTGCAATTTACACAAGGAACTTTCCCTAATCGCTTCCAAAAGAGTGTTGTCATTTAAACGTCGCATAAACAGCCATTTTCCTTGTACAGGAAACGACTTTGCCCATTTGAAGTACAAAGTTTCAGGGTTGTACATGCTGACTGGTATGAATCCTTAAAACCACGGCAAAAGGAAATTGTTGGTTTGGATGGGTTTGAGTTAGAGTTGATCATCACTGTATAGGATTTGTATTGGATTTGATTGCAAGCCATTTATTTACTGGGAGCTTGTACGTGCCCGGGACTGTGATTGTCTTCTAAAGACGGCACGGTGATAAGACGTGGTTCAGTGCTATTCAGTTCATATTTCTTTGTTTTTGAGTACAGGTGATCCATCTGATCTGACCATCTTGTACACAGAAGACACCGTTCAGTGGTGTGAGTACCTCTTCGACATCTTCAAGGACTTTGAAATCCAGCAGAACTCCGAGGATATCACAGAGTTTCCCACCAATCAGAACACGCTGCAGAATATTCGGGACTCGCTGGTGTCGGTGGTGATCATATCGCCGCTCTTTCTTCAGAATTGTACCCCCAAGATGCAAGATTACCTCCAGCAGGTGGTGGGGTTGATCTGTGGAGTGGACGAGGCCGACATGGAGGAGCTCCTACGCAAGATTCCGTCCTCCAAGGACTGGCACCGAGTAGAAGCTGTGGCAGGAAGCGCCGAGATCAGCAAAGTGGTTCTGAAGGTTTTGCACGACACCAGCGACCTGAAGGAGCGCCAAAGGCTCGCGGAAGTCGAGGATACATACGTACCAGTGGATGAGGGAAGGGGTGATTTTATTCAGGATGACTACATGGTGATGGTTGGTGGGAAAGCTGGCGACGGTAGACCAGAAAACATGTACTTTACCCCAGATGACACCTATGAACCCATGATGCCGGTACCAACAAGCAGACCACCGGCCGTTCCATTGGGATCCGGTCATGTTTTTCAAACGACGAGTCAAGGGTACGTCGACATGAAAGAAGGTATGGACTAGTCCCAGGAAACGCTGTTACCATGGCGATGTTAAAGGATATTATGGTATTATTTCTCAGGTTTTACTTCCCAGAGTTCGTTTAGGTTCACTTGACGAGTGCCGGCCAAATTTTCTTCAGCAGGATTGTCCAGCAGGCAAAGTGGGCACTGTGCTTAGGCTAAAGTCCAGAATTTTTTGCTTTCTGAAAGTCAAATTCTACTTTCTTCTGCTTTCAAAATTTTACATTTATATGACCAAAGGGTTACCAGATCACCCTTTGGTCACATACATGTTCTGTACATGTACTGTAGGCCTACATTTACCGCACATCTACAGGTATCTTTGGCATAATGATACATGTAGGGCCTACACGCACCATGCCACTGTGATCTTGGACTGGTCCCCGTCCCAATTGATTTATTCATAAGCCGTGAGACGTCTGGGCACTATGTAGGAATGGGGACCTGTGTGATCTCCGCGGTGCTCAGCCGGAGGAAATCAATACCGATTTCTGCGATATCACAAAGGAAAAACAGGAGGGGAAATGCTACCAAATGTTACTTTCAAAGTGAGTTAAACAGTGAAAATGAGTCGTCATTCTTAATTTGGGTTCATATTTATTTGATTAATTGTGCAGAAACGATCAAAAATATATTTTTTTTAATTTATTAATTTGTTTACCCAGAATTGCCTTTTCTGCTTTCTACCCCCCAATCTGCGATTTTTGAGGACTTTCCGCAACGCAGAAAGCTCTGGACTTTAGCTTAGGCCCATCAAAAATGTGGAGGGTTTTGAACATTTCCACAGTGCCAGAAAACGTAGCACCCACCCCAGCAGCGGTTCTTCTGTACATGGTGTGGAGCGCATTATATGTTTGGTCTCGCTGTGGGCATCTTATTAGAAATGGTCACTGCATGGTCAGCTTCTCTCTTTTCAGCCATTGAGGGTGTACTCTCAACCGAACCAGACCATTCAGTCAGCTTTTCTCTTTAGCATTTCTTTTTGTTCACCATGTGCTGTCTTTACGACTCAGTAACCAAGTATTATCTTTGACTTCTACGTAGCTAAGCACTTGTCACAATGCAGTCCTGGCTTGATCATTCAACCCGAACGGTGGAGAAGTGGGGTGAGTGTACCAAGAGAACGATTCAAGACTTCAGAATTTTTCTGGGTCTGAAGAAGCACATATGTGACCTGTCACGACAAAATGAGCGTAAAGTCGCATTTCGCTCTTTCCTATTTTGAAGGTTCAAAATCATATTGAAGTGGAGGTTAATTTAGGGATTTTGTAATATTTGAAAAGACTAGCCTGTCTCCTGTTTAATTCCAAATATATCGTAGGATCATATAGTTAAAAATGTCATTTTCACAGCAGTTTTGACAATAGCATTATGCATGCCTGGTCTGAAATGTTGAAACAATGCCGGAACAAAGATGCAAAGCTGCCAGAATAATGTCACATGGTCACCTTATACTTCTTCCCTAAGTGTTCCATGTACATGCCATTGGAGAACTCTTTTTCTACTGAACTCAAAAATACCAATATCTCAATTTTTGAAAATTCCGACTTTCAGCTCATTTTGTGGTGACCGGTCACATGTACATGTACACTGTAGAAAAGAAATCCAGATCCACAAGATTATACATGTACATGCTTATTTCCATAGGAAGTGGTCCCGTGTGTATCCGGAATGAAGCGTGACATTTTTGTTGTCTTGTCAGTGTTGTTGCAACTGGTTTAGTTTTCTGTATAAACATCTTGTGCATATATGCATAGTACACATTTCATCATTGCGTTGTTTCCTTGTACATGTACTTACATGTATGTTGATGCAAAATTTCCTCTGTCGGTCCTGCTCATTTTGACATAACCTTTGACACAAGTATGGAACAGGTTTTCTTTTCATGTTTGACAGGAAATTGCCTTTTTAAAAATATTTGTCCCATAGCTTGCTTTCTAGTGACGTGGAGGCACCAACATAAAAGTATTACCATTCATGTGATAATTTCTGCCAAACGTGTCTCATTTGTAAAAAATTTCTGCACTGACCTTCAAACCATGGAGAAATAAAACACAGTTCAAACTCAAGAATACATTCACATAAATATATTTCATTTTTGATTTTTTCTCTAAATTTCCGATGTTGGACAGTCCCAGTTTAGAAAGAAAACAAGAAACCCAAACAGTGTGGAAACATTTATGAAAAGTCAAACCCACTGTCTAGTTGACTTGAACGAGGAAGGACGCACTTTGTCGTATAGCTTCCTGAGATGGGTCAGGTCAGTTTTAGGCAGCCATCCAATGCACACCTGGCATGGAGTTATTCATGCACAAATTGTGTGGTACACTGTTCAGGGGAATTCACGTGTGGAAATGTGCAGTGTACATGTACATGCATACACAATTTGTGTGGCGGTTGTATTAGTAAGAAGACACCTGGATCTAGGGTGAACTTGTTACATGCACACATACACCTGTAGATGTATGCACTTACACGGAGGTGTACCGGTAGTGTACGATAGTTGTACATGAATACCTACATGTACATGTACATGACTATGGAGCTGTGGTAGTAGGTTGGGTCAATTTGTGACCTACAAGTTTAAGTACCAGTGGTTTCCATTCGTACGATAACTTCAGTTTTTTTTTGTTTGCCCTTTACATATTTTTTCGATCAATTAATTTTTTTCTTCTCAGATCAGTTGATTTCCATTTTCGCCGTTTGCTTTTTGAAAAACACTGAATGAAGTCTTATACAAGTTTGATTTGTCTCCTTTTTTGGGAGAAGGGTTAGATGGAGAAGGGGCCTTTGTACATGTAGAACTGCTTCAGGTGTTGATCTACTGAAATTGTTGCCCTCTAATAACAATGCACAAAGGGAATAGGTCTGTTTAGATATTTAATCGAGCGCTCTGATGATATTTCAGGCGGAAGGGGTGCTTTATATGCTCTTCCAAGATCAGCTCACTAAAGACCAGTACACAGTCAACTTTCAGGGCAAGTTGAAAAAGAGTGAGGTGGTTGCCAAGCAGAAGAATCCATACACTCTAGAGGTTGACCTTCCCAAAGGTATGTTCCAGAGTTCATAGGTCAAAGGTTATCAGATTCTTCAGATAGTAGCATTGCTTGTGATTATTCGTTGCTATGCAAAGTGAGTAATTTGAATTGTTTTAAAAACAAGTCGTCTTTGAATTTCTGTTCAGATCATCCTGCCGAGCTGACTGATGTTCAGGTAATCGGTCCAAATCGTGCAGTGGTGGCCACCTGTAAGTTCATCTTCACGAGCGTCATGGATGAATTGGCCGAGGTGTTACGTGACGTAGTGGACCCAATGAAATTCATGTGTCAGGCACTTGGAATATCCCCGGCCGACGCAAACGAGCTAGACAACAACCTGTATGAGCACATCCAAAGATGTCTACCCTCTGGTGGGCTGAACTTACTGGTGGGCCAAGTGGGCGGAGAACAAAAAGGTGAGGCAGCTCAGTTGTCTTTGTGGATTTCTGGAAGTTTTTAAAAAGGTGCTTTTTTTCCAGTGATTTGGCCAGATGTGATGCAAAGCCTTGAATTGATTTTAGAATTAAATTGCTCAGTTTAAAGTAAAAGTTGGGGATGTTTCCTCCAAATCAGACCATTTAAACATTTCTATGATTTCAGCAGCAATGGAAACAATCTAACACCAGCCATTCCTTCCTCCTGTTCTTTGCTAAGAATCTTCCTACACCAAAACCCACCATGTAGATTTGCTTCAGACCACATTTTCCAATATCTTTGAAGAAGTTTTTCTTTTTTTTTTAATGAATTGAGAAGATTTGGAGTGGATTTCAAACATTTCACATGCAATACAGGTCTACATTTAATAAAGGAACCAATTTTTGCTTTGAAAAGAATATTCAGAGGTTTTTTCTGAGAAGAATGACTGATATATCACATAAATTGCTGTTATTCTTGTACTTCAGACTTCATATTGGAGGCCAAATTGAGCAAGGTATTTTCACTCCTAGATGTTGATTTTATTTATGTGTTACTTTTTGACTTTAAAATTTTTCAGTCACTTATTTTTGATGAGGTGAAGGATTCATAACTGCATGATTTGGTGGCTGTCAGTAAAAGTGGCTGGTTTGCATGTTCATGGTTGTCAAGTTAATTTTGTTGCAAGATTGTGTGTTCTTGAACACTTGTTTGAAAGTGTCAATGCAAATAGGTGTGGAGACTGCTGCCTTTCATTGCTCAGAACTCTCTTCCCAGTCTTTCAAGACATGGATTGATTTGGCCTTGTTCTAGATTCAGCCATCTTGAATATAAGGTGATCTTTGTAAAAATATTCTGAAACCATAACGTGTGTGGCAGCAGAGAAGATGCTATGACAAATTATAGATTACCACCCTTGTGTTCTGACGGGTACCGGGTAGTTTCCAAATTATGGATAAAAAGTCATGTCACCTTCATTGTCCTGTAAAAATAAAATTGCAAGTGAAGTTAGACCTGTACATGTAGTTGTAGCAGTTAGACAGTAGGGCTGTGTCAAATATCCGAATATCCGGATATTTGATCAAGTGTCGAATATTCAAATATTATTTTCCGAATTCGAATATTCGAATGCAAAATTCCTCAAAACAAAGGAAGAATTTTCTTTTGTTTTAAATGTGAAAAGTTGCATTTTGGAAGCTTGTTTCAAGCAGACTCGAATGAAAAGCGACAGAAATCTTACGATTCAAAATTAATATTTTCATAACAAAATTTTAAAGGTCAAGAAGTATTGTTCATCTCTTAAATCTTGCTAAATCGTGGCTGGAGATACTCCCAGTAGAAGCTATTACAGTGATTAAAATGTACAATTTTGTGCATTGTTGCAACCGATTTATATATGGATTGTTCATCAACAATCTGCCGGTCAGTACGAATCAATATTCAGATATTCGATCGAATTGAAGGTCGAATATTCAAATAGTGAATTGTTTGAATTTACTCAGGCCTATTAGGCTCCTTCCCATTGTAGAGTGTTCAGTGAATAAAGTGGATTCAGGGTAGGCACGATTCCAAATAGCTGTCTTGTGAATAAAGCCCATTTGTCTTTTTTGTAATTTCTTCACATCTTCTACTTTGTCCTAAACTGTTAAATTTTCTCATCGCTGTTCTATAATTTTTTGTATTGTTATTTGTCCTGCTCACAACGCTGCATTTCTTACAGTTCTGACAGACATTCCCACGGCCTTGCATTTTGCCGCCAAGTACGGCCTGAAGAACATCTGCTCCATGCTGATCACCTGTCCTGGCGCCATGCAAGCCATGAAGCTGAAGAACAGAGAAGGTTTCACCCCAGACGTCATAGCAGGAAAGAGCGGCCACAATGACCTCAAGTGCTTTCTGGAAAACTTTGTGGTAAGATGCTTTGGAGGTTTCAAAGTTTGTTTGACAGAGTGCTTATTAATCGGCACGCAGTGAAGATCAAGCACAACTTCTTACTGATATTTAGTGAATCACAATTTTTGACCTGTCTTGTTTCATCGCACCGTTCTCTTGCTAGATGAAAAATTCTAACTATAACATTTCACGTTTCTTTGGATGCTCACACCTGAGGTAGATAACACACTGTTTCTTCAGTTAGTCAAAGCAAAAGTCTGCAGTGTTAACATTGTTTGCCGTAAGTTTTTTGTTACACTGAATTAATCTTCTGTTTATCATCAAAATGTCCCCTCCCCGACATTTTGGATTTTCAGAGGCAAGCTGTTTGTTGCGTTTGGTTTGTAGGAAGTTGCCGAAGATGAAGCCATGGCAGGCGAAGGTGGCCCCTCCTCCTACATGTTCATGAAGACTGGATTCTTGTACTACAGTAGGTTTAAGCAGTCTGGGTACCATGTCTGACCAAAAATTGCCCTCTGTGTGCAAATCATTGGTGTCATCTGTAGGTTTTTCTTCAGCCTAATATAGACTGAGATGGGTTTTGAAAACTGATGGTATGAAGACCATGGAAAACTACATGTTGCTTGTTCAAGCTACCGGAATGTGTATTGCCCAGATCAAAACCATTAATCTTTGTGCAGAAGAAAAACCATGAGCCAGGAAATCCCAAGTCCAAAACAAAGCCAAAAGCAGATGAAGTCAACTCCTACAAAAAAAATTGTCTCCAGGTCAGAAATACCCATCATCCTCAAAGCGCGCATTTGATGACTCTTAAAGAATTTTTCTAACAACTGATCTATGACACCAAACCCTTGGTTATGATGTTATTTGTTGTTACATTCATAGATCAGAAAGAGCTCTTGAAGCAACTGAGTAGGGAAGAAGGATCTCTCTACGACTCTCCTTTCCAAATACCAATACCAGCCACAGGGGTGCCATTAACAAAAGAGGAAACCATCAAGAAACTTGTGCAAGGTTAGTAGTTGTTATCTCTTCCCCACTGGTTCTCTCACAGGAGTTTTTTGCCTTGACTGTTTGCACGCAAAACCTCCCAAGTATGGGATCACTAAGGTCGGTAAAAACGATTTCATTAAAACTTGGTGTGACAGGGAAACAAGAAGACATTGAGGAGTATTATGGAAGCCTGACCATCGATATGGGCAGCTTCCAGCGGGATGAGGACGGAGAGGAAGATTATGAGAGAGTTGAGGACGAAGTTGGGCTGAGGAAACGGTCAATGAAGAAACCCCCTGTAGAGAGCCGGTCGCCAAGGCAACCCGTGGAGGAAAGACCCTCACCGCAGGAATCACTACCGCCTCCCATAGAGCCTCGGTTAGCTCCGCCCCTGCCAGAACCCGAAGGCGAGAAACTGGAGAGACCCCCGCCAAGAAAGAACGTAAAACGTAGGGAATTCATTTTGTAAGACTTTGAACCTTCTTCCCTTAAAGAGAATGTACAAACTATTCATAATTATTGTTAAATCTGATTGAACCCTTGCCTGATTAGCTATAAAAAAGTCCTGTAGTTTTGTTTCCATCGTTACAACCCCTACGCCAGATATTTCTTTTCGTTTCTCGTTCTCATTGCCGTTTATGACTTGACCGTTTCAGCTGCGGATATTCTCGGGATAAAGCAAATTGCCACAGGCCAGCAGCACCTGATCGAGATCCAAAATCGAGTCAAGAACAAGGAAGTGACGGTGGACGAAGCCGTCATGCTGTTCAAGAACTGGGAACTGTTGCAGGAGAAAGATTGCCTCTCCTTCTCAGCCCAAGCGGTAAGAAAACAAAGTAGCCAAATGAATTCTGACACCACTCAGGTGGAGTAACCACAAGGTGAGATGAGGAAGGGAATAACATTGGCTATGTTTGTGCCGTGTGCTTAGAAAGCTAATTATGAACGAAGAGCTGTGATAAGAATTCAGGAGACTGTCCGAAATTGAGACAAACTATGAAAGTGTACAAGGTGTAACTAGTGCATAGGCACTCCGTCGGATGAACACAGCAATTGCTTAAAACAACAACCAGAGTTTTTAAGATCCAAACTTAACTTCAAACAATCGCAGAAGTTCCTCATTAAGCACAAATCTGTTTATATGTAACCCTGTTCATACTTACTGGTGCTTTGTTGGTAGGTAGATTTGACTTGTTTGTCTGACAACAGGAAAGTCATGTCCTCTTTGTGAAGTTGACGGCATCATTAAATGTGATTGTGTTTTGTTGGATGTAATTTGTTTGATTTTCAGGAAACTCTCAAAGCTTTGAAGCAGCAGAAACAGAAAGCCAAGCAAGGCGGCTTAAGTTCCATTTTCACCAAGAAATTGCCCAAGAAAGGTAACCTTTCTTTGAAGACAGCGCAGTTTTCTTTCTGTCAGTTGATTTTATGCAAACATTAACAAGACTAACCTCTTGTAACCAATGCTTTTTTCACCCTGTGCTGACTGACGGCCATCTTCAATATTTTCAGGATGAAAATAATAGGGGAAAATTGAATTTTCACTGGCTACAGATTTGTTTTATGTGCTGACCTTCATTGACAAAAACAAAATCCTTTCCATTCTTTCTGGACTTCAGACCCTGGGATATTTCTGTTTTTTGTCGCATAATTGTTTAAAGGCTTGCATCCAACAGCTTTTCGCATTTCTCTTTGTTCACAACGGTGAGATTGGTAGGCCGTTTTCATGCCACACATCTAATCAAATATGTCGATCCAGCAGCAAACTCTGCCATATTACATGTAGATCAACTTTTAGACATGTAAGTTAGCTGTCACTACATTCTTCATTGCGTAGCCTTGCTAGTTTGGTGCCATTTGCTGGATGGAATAATGAAACTCTTGAGTACCGAAAGGAAAAAAGAAACTTCATCCTTGTCAGGTAGAAGAAGTCATTGTTTTTAAATAGAATGTCCCATTAGATTGCTGCCTGACTTGGTTTTGCAGAAATGAAATGAAACCATAGTTTGAGTTTTCATGTAGGTATTTTGGCTTACCTGAATGTATGTTTGTCTAGCAAGCATATCTAATGTGGCTTTCTAAGAAATGCACATCAAGTTACACAGTTGCACTTGTCTGATCTTCTGAAATTGCCCATCTCCCTGGAATTTTATCTCCCTAAGGGATATGTGAAAACATTCTACATTAATCGAAAGATTTATTAAAGTACTTCAAAATTTTCACTCTTCTTAAAATTCATCCAATTTGTTTGGGTACATGTATAATGAAAACACAAATAGTCTAAAACAAAGTCAGAACTCAGACAGCCAAAAAAAGAAAAACTGAAATAAAGCTGAAAGTATTTTTCCAAAATTTCAACATCAGTCACACTAAATTTGCCTTCAGTAATGAGAAATGTTTAAACCCTTAAAAGTACTTGCAAGACTGTGCAAGTCTTCTGGTCCAGGATTGATTTTTTTATTAAATTAGTGTCAAACAGCAAGGTCATACACTCCTTTAAGTTTGTTACCCTTTTGTCAGCTCCTCTCACACTGCCCCCAAGACATCATGTGTGGCATGTCTCTCGGTATATGAGTCTCTTCAAGTGGTTATCACTTCACTGATCCTCTTGGCTGGAAAGCCGCCAAATTTTCTGAAATTTGTGGTGTGGAAAATTCTCAGCTGAAATGCCAAGTTGTTTTTATTTTGCTCTCAGTCAGTAAACAGTCTCTGTGTTTGTTGCACACATGCAGGTGGGGCTGTCGGGGACCACGTTGGCCAGTCTATTTTTTACTTCCCTCGATCCCCAGCAAGGGTAGAGGTCACAGCACTGGCTTCAGCCGCACGTTCGCAAGCACGGGGTACATGTAATTATCCTGCAAGTGCGTCACATGCTGAATTTGCCTTGAGGTTGCTGTTAGTGTTACAACGATGTATCTCATGGTTGGCTTATGTTATGATGTCCGTGGTGTGACATCCCCCCCTCCAAAAAAATTGCCCAGTCCATTAATATGGACTTGATCTCGTGGAATCTAGCTGGATCTGGTTTGATGTAAACATAGTTTGGAGTTTGTTTGATCTGCTTTAGAAGACATGGCTGAAGGCAGCCTTTCTTTTTTTTTTACTAAGGGAAGATGTTGGTGCTAGGCTGGTCTTAAAACTTCATTTAAGACCAGCTCAGGAGAATAGACATTGATAATGTCCTGAGCCAAAGATATTTATTCCAATTCATAAATAGTTTTGGATTGAGAGAGTCCAAACAAACTAAGCAAATTATAAATTTGAATTTTTTTCAAACCCCCCGCTGGCCATGGTGTGGTACATGTATGGGTCTCTTGCGAGTGGTTGTAAACAAGCTCCTTATATGGAGATTGGCGCTCATGATGTGTACTGCTTAGGGGGCATAGTAAGCCAGCGTAGTGTGATTTTGGGACTCGCACAATGCGAATCCAAGAGAATAATTCACAAACACAATCACAGATTTGGAATCTCCAACCAATGCAAGGGAAACAGAACTATATTTGTAAGGCTCCTAAATGTCATGGAACACTGGTAGTGTGTTTTGGCCTGACTAATACTCAGGCCAGCCGGTGCTTTATCGACCATTTAAGACGCCGCATGGTGGGCTCTCGATCAGTAGGAATGCCTAAACTGTCTTAGGCATTTATGAATGTTAATTAATTATCTGACAATGACTGTTAGTAGTGGCACTGTTGTTTTGGATCTCTCTCTGCTCATGAATATGTAAATTTACTCAAACATAACAAACACCCTAGAAAATTAAATCCCGCTTATGCACATGTATATGAGACTTACATGTATATGCATGTGTCGAGGATTCAAGTTTGAAAAAAAAGGACCTTATTAAGAGTTAGAGTGGACTCGCGTGCTTGAAATTTCAGGTATAGGGTCATTGGTGTTCTGTCACTCAGTTACTGGTATCCAGTCTTAAGGAATATCCAACTGTTTTCTATTTTGACTGTTTATGTGTTCTGTGTTGTTTTATTTATTTTTATGTTCTTCATTATGAGACAAAATTTTGAATTTTTGCTTTATGTATGATGTTGTCCAGCAAAACATCATCCAAAACACAGATTTTGAACATTTCTGAAATGTACAAAACTTTATCCATAAATTTAAAAAGAAAAATTCATACAGCACAACCTTGAGGTATTTGGCACGTGCGTACTTGTATGTTGAATCCCTAGATACAAAGCATCTGAGATTTCTTGGTCAAATCTCAAAATGTTGCTCTTCGCAATCACCTCAAAACTTTGCCACCAGCTTTTTTCTGGTCTCTGCTTTCATCAGCAAAGCATGAAAAAGTGTTTTCACGCTGTCGGTTTGTTTCTTTTTTCCCTTATCCCAAATATATTGTATTCCCCTGCCATGTATTTGCACAGCGTTTTCTGAGCTTGCTGTTTCTTTTCAAACATTCCCACTGAAGACGCACAATTCCTTTACATTTATGCACTTATATTAATTACTAAAATGTGCCAAATAAAATCCAACTCTGTCAAGCATAAACCTGTGACTTTCTCCACGCAGGATTTTTTAACATACCTACACGGAAAGGCAGAGCGAACTCGGAACCCTTAATAACCTGCCCCTACGGTAATGCTGTTCTCTCAAAATCAAGGTTGTACAGAGGGGCATGCAGTGTACATGCATTGTGCATGAAGTGATGTATTATTGGCTATATTGTATTGTATTATTGGCTATAACAACCACCTGCTTGCTTTGCTAAGCTCCACCCGTCCCTACCCACTTTAGCAAGTTTGAGCCAGTGTCAAATTCAGAAAAGTCATGCATGTTTCACTTCCCGAACTTAGATATTTCAAAATCATATTGAACTGGATAAATTTATACTTAAGTTGAATTCTCTTGTTTTTGCAATGACTAGTTTTGGATTGAAAAATTTGAAATTTGGTTTGTGGTACCAGCTGCTACATCTGATTCGAACCAGCCAGCCAACACTAGCAAGCTCAGTGGTCGAGTGGTTAAGATGTCTGCACTAGTAAGCAGGAGGTTCCGGGTTCGAGTCCCACCCGAGCAACACTGAGGTTTTTTTGCCTTAATCCGGCATGTTTTCTTAAATATGCAAAGTTGCATTTGCAAACAACTTAAAAAGGCATCTGAGTTCCCTTACAATGGTACACCAAAAAATTAAAAACCAGATGAAATGGGACACACAGGAGCACAAGATATCCATTAAACATGAACTCTCAAACACTCATATTCAAAGGATTTTTCTGTCACGCAAGAGACACTACAAGATTGTGTCCATCCTTCGGCTTGTCTCTACTTCCATCTAGTGGTTAGGGAAAAGCAGCACTTTTGCAGAACTTCACATTTTGCAGATGCTATCATTTTTTCCTGGATTGGGCTCATTTTAGAGTAGAGTCAGATGCATGAATGTCTCCATGCGTGTTCCACTCATTCACACATATTATATGTAGTCACCTACGGTAACCGTTCCTTCCACATAAACATATCAATGATATACATTGCATTGGGATATAACTTGACATAAAGAACATTACTCATTTGTCATTAATTTTATCAACCCAATATATTCACCATTTGTATGAAACAATTGACACTGATGTAGTCCTGAGAGTTTGAGAATGTGACCTATTGCCCCCCCCCAAAAAAAATATGGCAGAGGCTGTCAAGGTTTTAGTTACAAGATTTCTTTGAATCCAAGTTCTGTTATCAAAAAGATTCTTATGTTGTCAGAAAAAAGTATTGATTCAAACTTTGTTGGATGCAGGCCTTTGTTGTAACTTCCGTTCTAGAATTCCTCAGTTATTGCCTTTCGTCCTTTAACAGACTCAAATTGTTGGCATTAACATGATCGATGCCGCGGGCTTAGATCATTCTGCAACCTCTTTAGATACCTGTTCAAATCATTTTTAATGATTAATGCAGGTGTCGCCTGGAAAGCAACCTATTTCTTGATTTCTTATTTCTTAAATCTTAACAGAGCTTCTTGATTTTTTGCAAACATCCTGATTTGCCAAAATGATGCAACTGTGAACGGGTTGGGGCAAGTCCAGTCAGCAATAAATAGTCAACCGATGGTCAATTTTGACTGGTAACCTATGCACAAAATATATATCAGGAACCAGGGAAAAATCGACCAGTGGTTAACAAATTGCCGCTGATTGAACTTGCCCTTGGAGGTAAAGAAGTGCATGAAAAGTTGCATGCAGTGTACGTGAACTGGCTATTTTGTGTAGGACATTCCGCTCAGAGAAGTGTTGGAGGGATGTTTCAGAAAGGGGAGTTATAGCGGATATCAGTGTGCTTGGGAGGGCGGGGCATTGGACACGATGGTGTGGGGGGTGGAGTCGATGAAGTGGTTGTGACATTTCTGCTAGAATGTACATGTAGTTTCAGAATTGACCAAAAGTGGATGGTAGCTGATTGTTGTTTAGGGGGCAGAAAGTGCTTTGCTTGGGGGTTGCACTTGCCCAGTGTTCATAGATGCGCTTGCTTTGCTGCAGAGAGACAGCTTTTCCATTTTAGTAGTCCACTTTCTGCTAGTACCCCATATACTGCCTTGTAATTTGTTCCATCATCATTGTTTTAGGACAGTGGCACCACCCCAACAAATTTATAGCCTGGCAGATAATACCAGTTAGGTTTTTGTGCGCATTCTGTTAAAAATTGGCTACATCCACTCTTGCGCAAAAACTTGCATGAAAATGTTGGCTTGTAGTTTGCCTTGGAGTGGGACTTAAAGGGAAATCTACACTTCCTGATTAGATCCTGTAGGTCTGTGAGCCCCGATACTTGGTCTTTGTTTGTTCTGTTTTTTTCTTTAATGTCAAATTTGTTTCTGTCAGGGGGGTCCTTTGCTATGATTTAAGTTTCATGTAAGTCTGTCTTTGGTTCTCCATTGCATTTGTTCATTTTCCTTTGTGTACATTATTGTTTGGGTGTTGGGGTTTGTCTGTCATGTTTGAGTGCTTTGTTTGTTCCGCTTGTTTGCATTTTAAATTTTCCTTGTGTCTGTGCTGGGTTTGGGGGTAGTGTGGCTTTCATCCCTTACATTAGCTGCTTCTCTCTGCTTTAATGGGAAGACTTGCAACAAGTCTAGTCTTCTGCATACTTGAATGGACTTTCAAGGGTTCTGAGGACGGATACTGTTCAGTTCCCCCATTTACATATATCTCTTGATGACTTTTCTTTTGGTGCAGGTTCACAGCCGCCATTGTCTCAGAAACCTCAGGAGAGACTTATTCAATCAGAGGTGGGTATACTCTCAGCCAATCAGAGTACAGGCCTTAGTCTCTGAGCAACATGCCTTTGAGGTGTTCTATTTCTTGGCTTAATATTGCTGTGTCTGAAAGACTTGGCTATAAATAGCTGTCTCATGTGTAGCCATGGAAGACGTTAGCTACTGGCTGCTTCTACTCTTAAAGATATACTTGATGAGCACACCCTACTGAAAATGTACAATTCATTTACCTATTAAGACCAATTCACCTCCCCATTGGATCCAATTCACATACCACTTGAATAACCAATTCCCAAACCAATTGCTTTTTTGCTTGGAATCAATTGGAATTCAATTGGGTTCAATTGGTTTGAACAGTGAATTTGAATCTTTTCTCAGTTTTCAATACCAATTGAAACCAGTTGAGTCCCATTTGAAAAATCCATTTGGTGGGGGAAACAAGCTGAAAGCTAACCAATTTGAACCAATTGTGTCCAATTTGAAATTTCCAATCGATTGAGGAAGGAAAACAAACAGAGGAAGCAAACCAATTGGAACCATTTGATTCCCATTTGAAATCTCCAATTGATGGGGGAAAACAAATGGAAGAGAAAACATACCGACTGAAACCAATTGACCACCAGTTGATTGCCAGTTGGACCCAATTTGTTCTAATTAAATCCAATGCAAAAATCAATTAGTTTGTATTGGCCATTTTTTGTAGGACAGCCAAGACTTTAGGAGGTACTCTGTGGGTATCTTTTCGTTACAGTTGCAACTGAAAATAATATGCATCTGATTTTTCCTTCTTCTCTTCCTGGTTTAGTTCTCGGGTACAAATCGACCGTCAAGCACCACAAGTGAGTAAGACCTGATAGCATTTAGTTTGAGTGTAAAGAAGTCCTAAGTTGTTGCCAGCTATTTTTGTGTTGCGGAAACTGTTTGTGGTTTGCTGTCGTCAGTTGTGAGATGAATTGCTTAGAGAAAACGTACTTCACTCCATCCACTTGACGTCCAACTCGTGAAGTTGCTATTTTAATAGATTCTGGAGTGAAAGTATAATTAGACAGGGCCTTAATTCAATTTACAAGAACGTTGCAGTTGAGTTTGGGGAACTGGGGCATGTTCATAAATTCTTAGTGAAAATTTCTGGGGGTACAATGAAATAATTGCGCATGGCCACCACAGTGAAAAATGCCATAACAAACCCATGGTTTACATGTAGCATTTCTTTTGATATATGCTTCATTTTTTCTTTTTAATTTGGCTCATGCAGGTCTAGATTCCCACGGCAGTCGAGATAGTCAGTACAACTCGGCTCCAGACGTGAGTTGTAGTATAAATAGCAAGGAATTTAAAAAGATATAAGTAGGATTCCCATAGTCGTGGAAAATCCTGGAAAAAGAGTTGTTCCTGAAAGTCGCTGAGAATTAGAAACAAATAGAATGTTGAGGAATCCAGTTGTTAGAGGAAAAACAGATCATGCAAGGGTTATATTTGATGTGCCGTTTGTGATGAGATAATGGAATATTGATAAATTTATTACAGGCTATCCTTGTCACTCCATAATGGTGGCTTTGGTAGTTTTCCAGTTCACATAGAAATTGTCAATTATAATCCCAGAAAGTCCTTGAAAAGCCATGGAATTCAGTTTTCAGATTTCTGCGGGAACCCTGATTAAGTATGAATAGTATACTTATAGGTTGAAGTTACAGGTTTTCTAGCTGGAAGGATGCACCAAATTAAACAACATGATCTCATGATGTTTCATGCAGGTCAAGCCATTATGTGCTGTTTATGTGTAAGCTTGTGCTCTCGCACACTGTGAAAGTCACAGTGTGCACGAGGTTCAGGTTGAAGTATGTTTTGTATTATTTATTGCCTTGTCTTGTTTCCTACTAGGAGCCCGACCAGGAGAAGTACTCACCCACCTCGCAACCAACCTCCTCTATTGCGCCTGTGATGAGGAGAGTGCATGAAATGCCCGTGACTCAGCAAGATAGAATCGTGAGTAAAGGGTGTCATTCATCATGAAAATTTCAGCACAGTGGATAATCAATTGGTAATGCTCGTTGCCATGACGAAAATATGACAGTTGTTTTACTTTTGAATTTAGCTCCCATCAAATCAGTTGCCAAGTAAAGAGAAACCAGGAAAAACATTCAAAGTCTCATTTTACGAGTCCAACATAAATTTTTTGCAATAAGTCTTTTGCAAGTTAAATTTAAATAAAATCTGGTACACTGAGTTATCTAATTGCACGTGAACATAATTTGAATTCCCCAGACTTAAAGACACTGTTGGTATGACTTGTAATTCTGGGCAAGCTTTTGCATAGCGACGACCATCTCTGGAATGGACTAGTTCCTTTGTGCCCTTCTTATCCATCGAGAACAGCGTATTGATGCACTCTCTTATGTATCTAAGCAAAAGCTTCACGCCCTAACTTGCTTGTGCTTGACAGCGTCATTGTGTTTTCTCCTCTCACGACAGAAGAGAATTTCGGCAGCTTATGACCAGCTGTCCAACATTGCTCCTAAGACCATGCCACCGGTTCCCAGCCGCGCCTCACCTGCCAAGCCAAGTTCTTTGCCCTCCTCTCTGCAGAATCTCCCCAAACCGTCTCCACCGTACGGTCACTTCCAGCCCCCCACCCCTTCCCAGGATGAACAGTCTGCCTACTTGGACTTTGATGACCCCACACCGGGAGACCTCCCGGAGTTACCCCCTCCACCCCCACCAACGGAGTTGGTTCCAGAAAGGTAGACGACTCTTCTACTAGGAACTGGAATTGGAAGTCGGGTCTGAGTTTGTTCAGAGACTGTTTATCAATGTTTGTGAATTATGATTTCATACAACCTGCGCATAAGATATATGCTTGATACCGGGCAAAATTGGTGGTTACCAAGTGATCGCTGATGGAGCTTCATCTTACTTTTTGTTCCCGTCACAATCAAATCAGTTGACCTTTAATAGGCATTACCTCATCTCATGTGACGAGCGTTATGATCTGATTTTGATTCATGCACGAATGGCCTTGTGACGGATTTGTCTACAAGACTCTTCAGACATGTATAACTTTTTTGGGGGCAGGGTTAAAAAGATATATTTTATAACCACAGGTAAATTGTCGAAAGCTCTAAATCTTTTTCAGACATTGGAGCAAGATGCTGTTGTGTGTTACATATTTTAATTGAGAGCAATGGCATCAGGTTAGACGATGTAACTCAAGAAATCGGACTGAGGTCTTATATCCACTGAAACCTCCAATTTCCAAGCTTATCCCTTGATAGTTGAGAACTTGTAACAAAATCAGTTAGTGTTTCATCCTACTTTGCTGAGTATTTCTGCAAAACTTTTTGACATGCATTCATATTTTACAGCAGAATGATAAAAGTGCCGTAAGGGAAGATTGCTTGCAGTATGTAGACCTTTAATACCAAGTAAGAAGTCTTGGTTGCCTTAGTTCGTCGCTAACTTTGTTCTCCCCTCTATTGTCCTTTTATTTTCAGACCACCAGAGGCCACATGCCCTATCTCTCCTAGTCACGGGGCTCGCTATGTGGACAGCTCATCACCAGCATCCAAATACCCTCAAGTTCTTCCCAGGCAAGCCCCTCAGAAGAGGCCCATTCCCAAGCCCAGGACACCACAAAGATAGGCATCCCAAGCAGAGCTGAAGGGGTGCCGTGTCACTCAGTCCAATGCTCACAGAATTGCTCAGTACAGACTCACGGAAACAGAGGTACTAGAATAGTTAAGCATGAAACGGTTACCAGTCTAAGTGCCATGTCTTGTATATTGCTTGTAACTGGTCACCTGCTCTCATCAATTTGAACTAATTTCTGCTCTTTCCCTATAAAACTCAAAAGTACCAGTTTTTCCAAAATGTATATTTAGCCTGTTGGGTCGTAGGTCATATCTGAATCAGATGTTTGGTCTGTGTTCTCCATTTTGGGGATCTGTCTTACTTGTACATACCTCTGTCACTTCTTTGAAATTTATGTCATTGATGAGTGCCATCTGTGTAAAAAAAAACCGAATGTACTGCATTGAGGTGTGTAAAATGAAATTTATACCGAGCATTTCTTCACTAAGTACTTGTTAATAATTTGCATATATGCAAAACTTCATCAAGAACTACATGTTAGTTATCACAGAAAAATCAAGGAAGGTGTCCTGTACATAGACCAAGGATAATTCTGAACATAGCAACTTGCTTTGTAGATATATGTTAAGAGTATAACATAGTTTGAAATATCGGGCACAGTACGAAGACAATGCAGAATTGTTGGTGTATTTTTGTACAATGCTGGAGTTGAGCAATTACATTACGCCTACACGTATGTGTTAGTTCAGCTTTGTCTATTCTTAGCTGGTACATATAGTAACATGGAAAATACATGTAGTTGCTATACTTCTATTTAGATTTTATTTCAATTTTATGTGTTTTTAGCCTGAATGAGATGGAAATAAGCCATACATCCGTGGAAGCCATGAGCTAGTGGATGTGGCTTCTTCCCATAGACTTGTGTACTAATCTCAGCCATAACCAGTTCATTTGGGCATTGCCTTAATTTCATCTATTGGATGCAGCTATCTTGGCTGAATCTCGTTGTGGGACCCGTCATTGTTTTGATTTCAAGTTGTTTTGAGTTTCAATTTGGGAAGGGGGCAGTTCTGAGACCATCGGGCGTCAGCCATTAACAGATTGATCCATTAAGTTTTGCCCCATTATAGGGGCTGCCAAAAGTGGGTCCACCCTCCCGGTCATCGCTAGTGCTTCAAGGAAAACAAGGACACACATCAGCTATCTAGCAGAGGTGAAAGTATCCTCGCCCAGTTGCATGATGGGATAAGTAGTCTCCATCCAACCCATAATGCATTGCATCACAGCATTTTGGCCATGGTAGCTCCATCTGTAGAAGTCATTCAATGACAATTGTGTTTAGCAAGTTGCCTTTTTTGCCATGGCTCAAAGTTTTTGTTGCTATTTATGCCAGGGCTGTCCTTGTGGTTTTGGGTAGTTCTGCTGAAATTTGTAGATTGACATTTAGTTGTTTTTACCAAAAAGAAACTTTTACCCGTAAGAATTTTGTTGAAACCCTCCTTTTTTTACATTTTACAATTCCAGTTTCCAAGGAAACAGCTCGTTATCTTGTCTGAAATTCAATTTTTATCACATTCTGCTTTTCCTATCTCAGATTTAGCTTTTTCAAAAAAATACATGAAATGTAGCAGAACTTCTTTTCTAGTGAATTGCATTTCTGAAACACTGGCTATTTTAACAGAAATTAAGCAGAATCATATACATTCCAACCAAAAGGTTTTGTGTTGAATGATTTTGTTTCTGAGGACACCAACTGTTCATTTGAAAAATGTCAAGTTTTCTGTTTTGAATTTTATTTAATGTAATAATCCCTTTAAATGTTTTCACTAGAAATTTATGTTGTCCAGTAAATGTTGTAATTATTCTTTTTTCCTTTTTACAAGTGGAAAAATCACTTTATTTTTGGACTTTGTTGCTTTGTTGGTTTTAGGTGTAATCTTTATACAGGTTTCCTGTCTGCGTACACGTACTTGCCATTGTTTAAAAAAACTCTTGCAAATGTTTAGTCAATAATTTTTACATAATCCCGCCTGTTTGAATTTTATTTTCCATTTTTAAAATTATGGATAACCATTAGAAGGGTCATGGGCCGTTTAAAACGGTTTGTACTCAGTAGTTCCTTCATTGCATCAAATGTATTTTTCTGGTGAAATGGGCTCAGAATGGAAGTGATGCATTTGGATTAAGGTGGCAGAGATCGACCAACTTGTACAAATGAAATGTGTTTGTGATAAAGTTTATCACAAACAACACAGTGGCCTTATCAGTGAAATTGCCCAATGCTTGACTCACATTGTTGCCAATAACCTGACAGGATTCTGATGGAATGACGACTTTGGTTACGAGGACTGTTCATGGTCCAGCTTTTTATCTGTTTTGCAATTGAGTCGCTCAGTCTCATAGAAACGATTGCTTGCCACTTGTTCTTGTTGCTTTGTAGATATAAATAATATAATCACACACACTGGTACTGGAGGCAGAAATCCGTGTATGTAGAGATAGTTTGCCTTGGAATATTTTTGTAATTTAATTTTGTTTGTTTTTTGCCAAAAGAAGAGCCAATTTTAGGCTGCATTTAGACTCGAGGGGTTCCATCCAGGAGTAGAACATGTAGCCATAAGGAAGCCGCTTGCTAGCAGCTGGGGCTTCTTATGATGATGGAACTGCATGTTTGTGCCAGCCTCATCCTTTCATTTTGGATGCGGCTCGCAACAGTTTTGTATAGCATAATGTGTGGTACCCTGAACTAAGATATCTTATTGTAATAATGTTGATTGATTGAACACGATCGTTGTCAGTTTATTTATTGATGCTGATTTGGTCTTAATTGTAAAGGACAGCAGAGAAATTGGCTTCTTGTTTCCTTTGAAACCTGAAGGCTCAGTGTTTTGATCCTTGCAGAATTTTTAAGAAAATTTATGTATGTGGAACACACTCAGAACCAGCAGCTACACTTTAAAATCTGTGGATTTGATTGGAAGGAATTGTGAAGATGTGACTTTGTCCGAAGTGTGCACAGTCTTGACTCACTATAAGGACCAATTTAAGAAACTGGGAAGTTCGGAACTTCTGAGTCAGTTTTGGTTTTTGTCAAAGTCTAACAACTGATTGCATGCTGTTGATGTGATGTTGAAGGAAAAGAAAATAGGATTTTTGGAAACAACGTTAAAAGCTCTTTCCACTTTTTAGTAGGCCCTCACTGTTGCAGTTTCAAAGTGTTTGTAGTTGTTTTTAGGCAGAAAATAACATTGACATTGAAATTTGTTATACTATTCTGTATGAAAAACTTAATCTTATGTTATTACTGCCGAAATTATGTGTGTACCATGCATACGCAGATCTCTACAAGGTGTTAATATGAATAAAACCGGACACTAAAAGCAACAAGTAATCGCAAGTTTCATCTATCATTTATGTCACTCAATATGCTGCATTGTAGACTTCTCAAAAGATACAAAGTTTTGTCCAAGGGTTATGTTTGAATTCAAAATGGACTTTAGAAATATTCTAAAAAACATTTTTCTCTGTAGTCATTGCCCCTAAGTGTTAAAAGACACATTTAAACATGAGGAACTCTATGCAAAGATACTGTGAGCTGAGTTTGTGCACATTGAGATGAAAATTTCTTGTGTAATTCTACCAACCACGTGAAAACACTGCATTCGATTGATCACTGGCAAAGCAGTATTTTAATTTCAGTCAGTACTGAATTTTGCCTGTGAATTTTCTTCTAGATCTGCTCCTAAAACCGAGATACTTAATAAAATAAGTCAAAGTTATTACACCACTTTGACAAAATCGGAAAATTGTATCCTCAGTTTCGTCATGTGGGACCTCACTACACGTGCGTTTTATTTAAAATTTCATCCAACAAAATTGACTTCTATTCATCCAGAAGTGATCTCTATTCATTGAAAAATGATTTCTGAGTGATTT